CCCCCCCCCCCCCAACTTCCTTTCTGCTTTCTACTCCATCGTTCTTTTAAATATAGTGGTTTTCACCATCATCATCAATCACCTGTTGTATGTCGTCAGGTGCATTTTTTTTCAGATTTTTATGTTTCACGTAATAGTGAAAGAGATAGCGGTTTGATGGTGAGAATGAGTCACGAGAAATAGAAAATTTAAATATCTCTTAAATTTAAAGTTAGATGAAAATATCTAAGAGAACTTGCACGCCTAGAAGGAACCAATTAAATACCGGTTACAAATTCATAGATGTTACATGTCCATATTTCACAGGGGTGAATCAACACACACACACACACACACACACACACACACACACACACATTGAAATAAGTAAAAAAATTGACGTCACACGAACATATGTTCTACATATTTTAATTTTCGAGTTTAATAAGTATAAACGATCTTTTCATTAAGTTCATCTTCAAGGTCGTTACAAGTTTTTTTTTTTAATATGAAATATTGTTCCCCCCCTCTTTTTTAAATAAATAAATTCCACTTCTAGTCAGTTCGCATATAAAAGTACTAAACAAGATCATCCAAAGATAAAATTAATATTTTTGCCTGATATTTCATATATTTTATCCCTATACTTTTCGGCATAAAAGTTATAAAAGAATCTTACGATTCCACTTAAAAAATTAGATTGACCTTAAAATAACATTAAAAGTAACCTCAAGGATAAACTTATTTGTAATTATTTATAATTTGCCCCCTTCGAATAGTGCAAATCCTCATATATATATATATATATATAAATAAATAAATAAATATATATATATATAATCTATGTTTAAAGAGATTTATATTTAAATGTTTTGTTTCTCGCGAATCATTATGTACATCATCATTTATCTTTCGTTTCGACCATAGTTTATGGCCATTCGTGAACTTGTGTTGTATCATATACCGGATGATTCCAAGTTGAACTTTCCATCTTTGTGACGTTTAATTACGTCTAATTAGGTACTCGCGAGCGGCTACTTTTATACCGCTTAGAATTTCTACTTGGTCCAAGATTTCTATATCGAAACATGGCACGATGAGGAAATAGTTTTACGATTTTGTACTTGACGAGTACGATGATACATCAGACAACAACAACAAGTGCGTATATGATGACGCATAGTTACCGACGTTGACAATTCAATGTAAATGCACTTTCGTTACTTATTTTCGCCGAAAATTTAATCCGACGTTTAATTTTCGTTTCTACTTCGTTGAATAAACAAGAGCAAGGAGTGTAAAGTGTTGAATCACTGTGAGTTATCTTTATCTTTAACGTTTATAAGTTTTAACGTAAAATTACTTATCGTGAAGCATCTTTATTTTGTCTGACAATTGTTAAAGATGAAGTAATGAAAATATATTGCAGAATCAAGATTATGCAAGGATACGAAAATACGATAGGGTGCCGAAAAAAATTAACGAATACAAACATATAAATTCTGTAAGAAGAATCGTTGAAAATACATGATGATAAGAATTGTTCCGTGAAATTAGCGAAATAATTGTATAGTACATAACACGTCACACCCGCACATACACACACACACACACACACATACACGCGCGCACGCACGCACGTTGCACATAGAATATTTATATTAAAAATAATTAATTTTTATTTGTAATCAGCATTTTTAGTGTATTATTAGTATCGTGTCGGAGTCAACTATTTCTATTATACAGCCATTTTCTGCTGTATTGTTCAACGTAGAATATAACCATGAGTGCGTTCGAGACGATATGACTATACATGTCTCTGTTACGCGTACAAGTTATTTTAGATGAAAAGAAAGCTGGATTTAAATTTCGGATCTATGCAAGTTTTGCATACTCAACAGACAAATTTCACAAAGCACTATTCCGTAAATAAATTTTCGTCGAATTTCGACTGATTTTACAAAATTAACGCTTTTGTGTTTTTCTGTGTACATATTCTATTTATATGTTTTTAGGTTCTTTTGATATTATATAGAAAAATGAATCACACACACACACACACACACACACACACACACACACANACACACACACACACACACACACACACACACACACACACACACACACGCACACACGCACACACACACACGCACACACAAATTGCGCACGCGCGCGCACAACACACACACACAATTGTATAAAAATGCCGTATATGGCTGTTATTCTCGAAATATAATAAATAATTATAAGTTTGTTAATTTTATTATATGTGTATGGCTGCAAATCCATGGGTTCACCTGGGATTCGGGAATATTGCATAATATTACATCTTTTTTTTATTGCTATATACCATAATAAGTAAAGAAAAGATAAACTTTATTAAAAAAAAATATAGAATAGAAAGGAGAAGTATTATATTATGCGTTATGTCGGTACAATAATCGCTATCGTGAAAAATTCATACGTCTCCGTTTCTTGTCTTAAATTTTTTTATACATACTTTTTATTCATTTTATAAATCGATACGATATCTGTATATTTATTTAATTAATTTGGTTGTCACGCACTTATTACGTCTATAATTATATGTATAAATATTGTTAAAAAAAAATTAAGGACTTACAAAATGCATAAGATCAGCACAATAGCTTTAAAATATGAAGATCGGTACAAGTTAGTTTTAAAATATGAAATGATAAGGGAATGCCTGAAAACTTTACCGACGGAATACTGATTTTTTCCTACAAAGTTCTTTACGTTTTATCGTTTGCACAAAATTATAAATGTGCTTTCGTACACTAAAAGTATGTGCAAAAATAAATTATTGGAATATATTATGCAATGTGTGAAAATGAAAATGACGAAAAATTTCAAAAACTGAAATCTCAATCTGTCAAATCGAGTAAACATCTACTCGAAACAGAAGTTTTGCAACTTGTATCATATCGAGTGTGCGTATGCTTCAATGAGGAAAATTTCGAAGGACATTTCTGTACCTTAACAATTGTATATAAAAGCCTAAAAAGGTATGAAAAGTATGTAGAAAGAATTTTATATATCTTGGTTAGATTCCCCCTTATATGTATAATGATGAAACACATTTGCATTACCACGTTTTACTGTAACATTGCCGTAATATTTTATCGCAATGTTTCTGAGGGCGGACATTTTCATTGCAATAGCGTTGCAGTATGTCATTTCGCAACATATATGGAATATTACGTTTTAGTATGTAATGTCTATACAATATATGTTCCTGCAACCTTTCTGTGCTATATGGGTTATATTCATTGACTGAACAATGTATTCGCTGAACTGAATTAAAAAATTTTTACAGTTACATATGTCGAATTGATATTGTGTCAGATTTATAGGCAATTTTCGATTTTAATAACGCGAGTGATTTATTTTTGTATTATCCACCTATATATAATATACTCAGTAAACATTAAGCAACAGTAGCATTATATTAAGGCGTCTTCCTCTATTAAGGTATCTTTGGCTTGATCTTTGTTTGATAAAGCGAGCCAGAAATGAGAAATTGCATACGAAAATATATATCACGTGGTGTATACGTGATGGAAATCAAGAAGAATATGTACATAAAATGGCATTCCATGGTGCCATAGATTCTCAGCACACTTGTAAAAATGTTGTGATTTTCTTTCCCTGAAAATTAGTATACTACATATAATTTGTGTTTTTAATCTATCTTTTTTTCTCATGACTTTTGTTAATTTTACGGCTATTTATTGATTCAGGTTTAGAAAGAAAGCGTCCAGACATTTTGCACACAAGTGTGTGGTGAGAATCTATAACATTTTATTGTTTTCGATACCCTCTCTCTCTCTCTCTCTGTGTATGTATGTGTGTGAATGCAATAATTTCCATTAAATATATTATATCTCAATTGTATAATATCAACTGAGAATTCGAGATTATTAATCATTTTATTTGTTAGGTTATATTATTTTTTGAGAGAGATTATTGATTGGCTTCATCGAAATTTTTCTCAATATATGGAATGTTGAATAACGTTGATAATTATTTTAAAAAATTCATCAGTAAGAAAATTAAAAGAACAATGTTTTAATGCAATCTCATCCAATTTTAACACACATCTGTATAATTTCTTCAGTTGATGACGTATTTAAGGCTCCTGGTCCCTCGCTGCCTCGCTTTCACAGAAAAGGAAAAGAAATATAGAAAGAACCGTGTGTGGACGAATAGTCCTTATCTCTTCTCCAAGAAGAAAAGAGAAAGAGAGAGGCATGCATTGCGTAGCCTCTTTCCAGAATTAGTTTTCGAAGAAGCAAAAACCGATATAAAAGCTAAGAAAGAAACGTATACTATTAAAATTAACAATCACGCTCCTAATTAGTCTCACGGTGTCATGCTCAAGTTATCGGTAAATTTTCTGTGCGGTTTGAAATCGATGCACGATCTTTCTCGCATCTCGTATTATTCAACAAGTTTTGCCATATGTATAGAATTTTCCTATTCCTAGGGACATTCTTTGTACACAGTATATTTATTAAATCACAGTCCACACCGCTAGATCCATCACTCTCGGTGATAATTGGCTCATATTGTGAAAATATCAAAGGAAATAAAATGAAGTCTAAATTCCAATCTATCTATATCTCCCAATCGTAGCTCACAAAATGGTGACTGATTCTATGTCCAATCTGATCTCCAAACTCGACCTTGGAATTTCAATCCATAGTGTGATAATGATTTATGATCCCAGACCTAATGTGGTTATATACGATGCTTAAGGCTATGCTTTACATTAATACTGGTCTACGATAGGTGCTTTAAGCTTTAAGAAATTGACCAATCACAGTTGAATGTGAAGGGAATAATTCACTATGATTGGTCAATTTCTTAAGGCTTGAAATACCTATTGTAGACTGAGATTGGTCACGCAATCGCAAAGTCGCAAGAAATTGACCAATCACAATCAATTATTTTCCTTGGAAACGAAAATAATCGACTGTGATTGGTCAATTTCTTGCAATTTCGCGATAAAACGACTAACATACGATCAGCCCGATAGACTGCTATTGCATTCGAAGTACTTGTAGCTACAGTGTTTACAGTTTTTATAGTTCTTAGGTAGAATCCTTTGTTTTTCGGATTGTTCAATTAGGAAATAGTAAAACTTCAAGTGAAAACATCGAAGTGTCATTGCGGAATTCATATACACTCACACGCACACACACACAAAATTTTCTTCTTAATACTTAATGATAAAAGTATGTGCAGTTTATTATCTTTGTGAAATTTTTTTGAAATGGCGTGTCTAACCTCATCACTCATAAGATCAACGCGTTTGCTTTGATTAATGATTCTGATTATGTTAAAGGTGCGTACAAGTAAATCTTTCAATTTAATCTTATATTAAAATTTTTTGTTACAAAATGTCTCTATAAAATTGTGTTTCCTTATATTAAAAAATTAGATGGAGTTTATTAAATAAATGATTAGATAAGTTATATATATATATATATATATATATATATATATATGTTTTATTCTATTACATACTATTTAGTTACATATAGGTTGTTTTTTACTTAAATCTACAAAAGCACAAGAAACAATAAATAAATAAGTGATTTTATTTAAAATTTTAATTAAATATACAACAAAAATATAATAACGCAGAATGTACTATNTATATTTAATTATAACAACAGCACAAACATCTTAAGGTTGTTGTGGATATGTTCAGGATATCCTACCTAACATTCCTCAGGGTATCCTAGACATATTTTGATTGAGATTGTGTTATTCGGGAGTGGAAAAAAAGTAATGTCATGTGTTTATGTAATAACAAAGTAATAGCGAAACTGATATTTTTATTTTTAAATAGAATAATTTTTTACCTAGGCTGTCGAATCATATTTTAAGTGAAATATAGATTAATTCGTGTATTCATATTAATGTATTTATTTCTTTCAATAGCTTACACATCACATATATAGAATGGTCTTATCTTTGAGGTATGTTATTAGGCACTATGGATGTTTACATATATTTTGAATTAAATGCGAATTGTGCTTCTGATCCGTGAAAGATGTCATTTAAATTTATTTCATTTTTCTCTCATGCTGATTTTTTACAAAAAATTTGTCAATTGCGAATGATCGTGTGAATGTTTAAATCATTAAATAATGAAGATTGGCAGTACAAATAACCACGTGAGATGTATTCTCTATGAGCTCTTTGATTGCGTCATTTGAACATCCTATTACTCACTAATTGATTAATCCAGGATGGAGTAAAGTATGTTTGTCGCTCGCAAGTTCACAACTTCTTATTTTGTACAGCATATTTTATTTCATTTTTAGATATTATCTATAATAAAAGGTAGTAACAATGGATGCTTTATTCCAAACCCAAAATATCGTCGATGAGGCAGAAGATATACCACAAACCGATGACCCAGTCTGGATTCTTGGCAGAAAATACAACACTCTTAAAGGTATGATAGATAGTAAAAGTTTTTTAATACTTCTGGCGAAGTGGGAATCGTAAGATATTGAATTTTCAGAACTCGATGCGATACGTAGAGACATTCGATCCAAACTGTGGTTTACATATCGCAAAGGCTTTGTTCCTATTGGCGGCTGCAGTTCTACATTTACGTCTGACAAAGGCTGGGGTTGTATGTTGAGATGTGGACAAATGGTTCTTGGCCAAGCCTTAATTACTTTACACTTAGGTATGTTGCAACAATTTAAATTTATAATTTCGAATTTATCCATATTACAAGAGATTTGGTGAAATAAATTTATAATATTTGACTGATAAATTCTTTACGGTTGGAAATCGAGATATTTCCGCTGTTTGTTTTATCATCCTGTCCTCGAATATTGTTGGTAAATATATTCAACCGATTGCCTTAGGATAGGATATAATCTTGATAAATCAAGCTACTTTTTTATATAACATTTTTCTAAAAATCTACCAACCGTGCTAAAATAATTTCGATTAACGGGAGGTTCACCGCAGCACTTAGTATTTATATAAGTAGATGTGAATGGTACGGCTTGCGTCAAATATCCTGTAAATATAGTTAAATATAATAATAATATATAACTATTATTATAATTTTTATTATCTGAATGATAAATCTTCTATTTCATTATTTAATGATGTGATATTTACATTTTCGTTGCAGGTAAAGATTGGCAGTGGGTTCCAGAATCAAAGAATAGTACATATTTAAAGATTTTAAAGCGCTTCGAAGATAATAGGGCTGCTGCATTTTCCATTCATCAAATTGCATTGATGGGAGCGTCTGAAGGAAAGGAAGTTGGACAATGGTTTGGTCCTAACACCATTGCGCAAGTATTAAAGTATGTATTTTGAGAGAATTGTTATAAGTTATAGATTATATGAACCTCATACAATGTGTATTGCGACCAAATCGTGAGACAGGTTCGCATTGGAGCTCGTCCAACACAAGCTTTTAGCTCATTCTTAGCTCGAAGAAGCTAAGGCTGAGACTTTGCAGCCGATTGTCTATGTGGTAAAGCGGTGTTTTTATCCAGATAGCACAAAATATTCTATTATATATATGATAATATTCTTATAAAATACGTACGTTTTTAACTCCAAAATATTCATAAATACGCGTGCGCACGCACACACATGAATATATACGCATATAGATCAGATATTCTAATATATATATATCGTTCAATAAATTTAATCTAAATACTTTATTTATTTACTTTTTTTCAGAAAATTAGTCGTGTATGACGAATGGAGCTCCCTTACTATACACGTTGCGCTAGACAATACTCTAGTAATTAATGACATTTGTAAGTATGATATTGGTATAGTTATTATGTTATATGTGGTGTTATATAAAGAAATTACAAGGAGAACATATAATATTAACAAAACAATTTTAAATATGTCAGATTTAGTGTGTTTTACTAGAAAGAAATTTCAATCTAGACGGCGTAAATGCAATATTATTCTGACGACTCTAAGCTTAGTCACTTGGTATATATAAGAATGTATGTAGAAGTGTTTGTGTTTACTTGAGATCGAGAGAGAGAGTAAGAGAGAAATGGAGCAAAACAAGCTGTATTTTTGTTGTTTGATGTTATTTTCCCTTCCACAAAGGGAAAAACGCGACGCAAATGAAACGCAAAATATGTGCATATATTTGCATTTATATACAATAATAAACAATATTTATTAGCAGAACATGATAATAGATTAATCTGTTAACATAATTTAACCAAGATTAATTTGTTATCAGGTTCTGCTAACGAATCCTGTTATATTTCTGCTAGCAAAGGAAAGAAATTGTAAATTAGAACAAAGAATTTATTATTAACATAAATGAATTATTAATTATTTAATCAATGCTGAGTTTATCTTTCCATGTTAAATTCGATCATATACCGTTATGATGTATGAATTTCATCTCATAAGATGTATGTGTTCACAGTGAGACAATGTAATGTAGAGGGCGGCGTGACAGCGGAAGCAGATGGAGAGACACCTTTGAAAGCACCTAGCCAATGGAAGCCTTTGCTATTGCTAATCCCACTCCGTCTTGGGCTCAGTGAGATTAATCCTGTGTATATTAATGGACTTAAGGCAGCATTTAAGATTTCGCAATCCTTGGGTGTGATTGGAGGAAAACCCAATCTGGCCTTGTATTTCATAGGATGCGTGGGTTTGTATAACTTCATTAATATTATATAATTTAAAATTATATGGAATGTAATCGGAAATGTAGGAATAGTTGTAAGAATTTATTTTTCTTAGAAAGAAAAACTTGCACCGTTCCTATTGTGCACAACCGCGCACAATTGAAACACTTGTGTGTACCAAATGAAAGCTTGTGAACGCTGAAAGATAATTTATAAGTTTCAAATCTTTGCGCATTGTTCTTCAAAATCAGTTCCAAAGAATTTGCTTATTTAGAAAATGTAGTCACTGGTGCCATTTATCGATGACTGCATTTTTTTTGGTACCAATTTTCAGGAAGAAAACAGATGCGGAGAGATGTAAAACTTATGTATTTTTTTTTTTTGTAACCTTTCATAGGCATTTCTTAATCTTGGTATTAAAGTTAATTTACGTTTTAAAAATTGGACTATAGTATTTTTGAACGGGAGAAGCTCACTTGGACACAGTATAAGTTGAGACACGTTTCAAATAGATACGTTAATATTAGACACGTTATATCGTTCAATTGGACACATTTTATTTGGACCAACCGCAATTTTGGGCATAGTAGCTATTGAACATGTAAGTTTGGCACGACATGTTTCTTTAGACACGTTACAAATGGATACATTAAAAATGCATTCTGTTCGGTCAAAAACCTGTAGATAAAGGACAATGGGTCTCGAACAAAAAAAAAAATATGCAAGAGCGAAAGAACATATACAGAACAGCCTATCGTCTATTGACGTTCGATCGGCGACCGTAACACCGAACGTCTATCTGTTTACAAGGCTGTAACTCCTCTTTTTATTTTTGGGAATTCCGACTTGCAACTCTAGGGAAATATTCTCAAGATGTTATACTAGAAAATGCAAAAATTGAAAAATCGATTTTTCCGACTTCGTAACCCCTTAGAGATTTTTTTTTACATGTAATGACATATATCTGTAATACTCTTTATTAAGCATTAACGTCGCCACAAGAATTAGTTTTTTTTTAATCGAGGTTACCTTTTTTTGTTAATTTATAGTATATAAGAAGATTAAAGTGTTTGTTAATAGTAGTCAGCTAAATGGCATACGCGTAAGGCCCGTTTCAATAATTTTTTCTAAATTTTACATTAATGAAGCATATTTTGTGTTTTCTAACATAAAGATTATAAAAATGATTCAAAATAAATATATAAATAATTCTTTTTTAGGAGACGAAGTTATTTTCTTGGATCCCCATACCACGCAAAGATCAGGCAGTGTTGAAAATAAAATTTACGAAGAAGAAATTGAGATGGATGCTACGTACCACTGCAAATTAGCTAGTCGTATTCCTATCACGGGAATGGATCCTTCTGTGGCTCTTGTTAGTATAGTCTGTTATTTATTATTCTCAAAAGTATTCAATCAAAAGTAGACAAAAGTATGAAAGACGCTATATAGTTTCTGATAGTGTTAGGTCATCCGAAAAGTTTTGAGAATATCTGTCGCGCTTAGGGACCAAGCTTTGCTCGGCAGTACTCTCGGCCAAGCGAATGATGATGGCTCGTTTGAGAGAGAGAGAGAGAGAGAGCGCTTTGCTCTTTCTCAAGTGCAGGTGTTGACAAACAGAGCAGAGACGATGTTGGTTGGCGCGTGATCGCGAAGATAGCTAGCCAAAAGCTATATTTGCGCAATGTTAAGCAATGTTTTTGCTTTCGGAAGGAAAACAGTGGAGATTATCCGTGAAATTTGCGACGGGGAGGATCAAACAACCGATAGTTCATGCGACTTCGAAGATGGTTTGTGGACGATCTTCCACGCTATTCGCCTGAAGCAAGCGGTCGATGAAAATTCCTGTAAAAATATATGCTGAAATTCTTACAGGACCGTTTCCCAAGAGCGCGCGCTCTATGACCATTTGAGACATATGTGTCTCGATGACTCTGGCCTCCTCGCACATTGACTGAACGCAATGACTTGCTCGCTCGTGTTGACGCACATTGTGCGATGCACTCTTAAGAAAAAATTCTGAAGAGCCTTTTTTGAAGCAGTTGATTATTGGCAACGAAAAATGAGTGCTCTATCGTGATGAAAGAAATGTCGACCGAACCTCCACGGATGATTTCAAAGAGGAAGCTAAAAGAAAGTTGTGCTTTGCACACTTACAGACAAATTTTACTGGCTGTGATAAATTGATCAGTGAAAAATAATAGTACTCGTAATTAAACCACTAAGCGACAATAATTTATCACTGGCCAATTTATTACAGCCCGATAATACATTTTCTGTAAGAACATTTAATGAAATCGCAAGGGTGTTGCACATGCTGCGATTTTTCATACACTGAACCAACGGAAAACACTTCGACTATTACAATCCACGAGTTGGCCCACTTCGAATTGTTGCCTTATTCGCGGCCTCGTGCGATTTACTACTGAAAAAATGGCCTGAAGGAAAGAAATTTTCGAATATGACAATGAAGTCATCGGTGATTGTAAATATTGAGGAACTCGAGAAGTCGAGTCTACACAGTGGTATAACTGCTCTCAAGAAGTGCTGAGAAAGAGTATCGAAGTAAAAGGAGACTTATTGTATTGCAAAGTAAATACATTTCAACTCGATAAATTGTTGTTCTCATTTCGGATATTTATCATTCGTCCCTCGTATATCGATAAGATCATACAGCAAATATGAAGCTGTTTATTGAAGTCTGTCATTGGTCATACTAGCTCGATCAAATTTGACTATACGAATTATCACAAGAATTATTGATCGCAAAATGACGACCATAATTCGATCATAACAAGATTAAATTAGCCATATATAAACTTTTTCTCCTTATTAATATATAAAGCTTACTCCATCATATCTATCATATTGTAGATATATCGTTATTATAATAATCACGTTATTAATCTGATATATTTTAGTGCTTCTTTTGTGCTACGGAAATGGAATTCAGATCTTTATGTAAATCAATGGAAGAGGAATTAACACTGCCCGAGAAGCAACCGTTATTTGAACTCTGCACAGAGCGCTTACCGCACTACTGGTCACCTGCGGAAGATGTTGCTTCCGAGGCAATAGCAGCTTCTAATTGTAAGTATTGATTACAAAGGTAACCTGCGTATACTTCAGGGGATACCATGCCGATAATCATGACATATATAGAGTCAAGGACATGACTCTAAATAACCTTCGAAAGTTTTTAGTCGGATTTTTATTAAAAAGTTAAAAGAGGTTTGAAAAATATAAGAATTAAAGTCAATACCGAATGGCGTAATTTGCCGATCTCTGGATACTTGGAACAGCATTTTTCAATTGTTGTTTGTACATATATAATAACTTTTTTTTTTTTCTTTTAATGACATATTTAAAACAAATTCGGTGAGGAACGCTTTCGAACGGTACTCTTCCCTTACAGAAAAGTATTACCGACTGTGAGTCGATGAAATCATCCATGCATTTACGGGCCTCTTCCACATTTTTAAAGCGTGTGTATCCGGCCAGATAGTGTTGGAGCGATCGGAATAGATGATAATCCAAAGGAATTAGATCCGGTGAATAAGCCACATGAGAGGGAATTTTCCAGCCCAACGAATAGATAGCCTTCGTTTTGTGGCGTTATCGTGCTGCAAGGTGATTTGTCGCGTTCTGTTTTTTTGCTCTTTATTTCGTCGCTCAAACGAATGCGTTGGTAATACTCAGCATTAATTGTTTAATCGGGTTGCAGTATCACGCCCCTCACATCCCGCCACATAGACAATAAGACTTTTCTGTGTGAATATGAGTTTCGCAATCGATGTCGGTGGTTGACCAGGGTCAATCCACGATTTTCTTCTTTTAGGATTGCCGTGACAAAACCTGAAAGTAATAATTATCACGATCTCGTCCGAAAAGGAGCATCTGAGGCACTGTATCCTTTTTGCGTTCCAGTTGAATAAAAATGCTGCTCAGGCTACCAAAATGATTTGTTCCGCTTTGGATAATTGGAAGGTACTGTGACCCATAAAACTTGTAAAAAGATCTCTTATCGGTAGTGAGACTAAACAGATGATGCATGATAACGCGCGGTCACATGCCAGGATAAAGGATCATCTATAGGCTGGGAAATTCTCTCTCATGCGGCTTATTCACCAGATTTAGCCCCGTCGAATTATCATCTATTTCGGTCGCTTCATCATCTGACGGATACGCATTTTAAAACAGTTGATGAGCGCCAATTGATGACTCTATTGGGTCAAAACGTTTTTCCCGTGAGGATATTCATCCGATAGTTGGAATAAAAGCATAGAAAATAATGGAAATTATTTCGAACATTAAACTTGTATTTGACTTTTTGTAATAAATAAACTTTGAATTTCTTTCATGGAAAAAGGCACCGAATTAATTTGTACACTTAATATAAGAACATTATAAGAAATAAGCCATTTTTCTTATAGAAGCCAACTTTGTAAAAAGGAATCGATTATTGCATTTGACCATAAACGACTGCAGCGTTCGATAAGAAAAAAAAATAGAGTTTTTTATAAAAATATAATTATTTTTTTATGTAGTTGTAGATTTTGAACGCATTGAACGTCAGTACGATACATCTGATGAAGACTTCGAACTGCTTGGTTGACGACTATCTGATCCACCTAGTGCCGTGGCGACGTGGGAAACGACAGTTGAATATTACAATGGTGTTCTCTTTGAAATAATTTGTATTTCTAATTATAATAATAAATTTATTAATGGTGCAAAGTAATTTGTACTTAAATACGTGTATATGTACAGGATTTTCGGAAAGATCGGGAACAAATTTATATAATAGGACCATGTAGAAAAAGTTCATATGAAAATGCTTCATTAGCAGTTTCACTGTAAAATTATACGTAATCATACTTTCTTTTTTCACAGAAAGTATTCTACACAGAAAGATAATTCTTAAAATGTCTCTTTGGCATATTCAGCCGTTTTTTTCTCAAGATCGATACTTGTATAGTTTTGATTTGATCTTTATCATTAGTGATAACAGGCCGGTTCTAACCTAGGAGCTATAGAGGAGGTGATATTACGAGGGAGGCTACCGACTTATAATGTGTCCTTGTGTGGAGAAAGAGAGAGAATCATAAATATATACTAATAGTTATCAAATATTTTACAAGAATGAATGTAATACTTGCCAAATATCTATCTAATAATAATCATCGAACATTTGACAATAGAATTTAAATATTTGATAGCTATCAATATTTTATTTAGCTGATTCAACTTTGAATAAAAGCCGTTCATACGTAGGCCAGCTAAATACTTGGTAATTAATACCAAATTTCGTAACAGTTATCAAATATTCCGTCGAAATCTCGAATTAAATTCATTTAGTAAATATTATCAGTCTTTTTTTTCAGTGTATTGCGTGTAAACGATGCGACTACGTCATCGTGGGCAATGCCGATTATCGAGCACATTGATATGAGCGAGTTTTTAGTCATCTTTATTTTCCTCAATGTGAAACAGTATAAAATATAACGTTTTCTACGTGTACTAGAAAGAGAGTTTTCACGCTAAGCGCACGAAAGTGTCACGAGTCACATTGAGCGGAATTTCGCTTTCACTAGTTTATACTCAACTAACTCCCTACGAAACAGAGATGAAATCTATTGTAAGAATCGAAGCGAAATTTTGCAAAAATAACTATTCAACAATGTCGAGTATATAACAAGTTAAGACAAATACAATTGATTGATCTTGGTAAATAAAGAATTTATTGAAAACCGTTTTCAAACAATCCTATTTTTTAAGCACAATTTGTTTTATTCGGTAACACGAGGGTCAATAGTTCTTATAGCGATCAAGCAACAAGTAATAACAATTGTAGCGTATCACCTTGTTTCTTATCATTATTATGTAATATTCATAATTTACTCTTCATTATAAATAAGGCTATATAATGCGAAATATTCCCGGCATCTCTTTCTTTACCGTATCGTAGAAAATATAGAAAATGGACGCGGTAAACTATTTTTTCTTCTTCGATATTTCTTCATATATCTTTGACTTAATTTAGACACAAAGCTATAATGATTTGCAACGCATTCTCCTTACTTTCGTTCACTAATTAGTAAAAAAAGAAACGACATGAATTCTATAAAGATTCTACATATAATAGTTACAATGACGAGATGGGCGTTGTAACGCGTGTGTTTGCTGCTGCGATGAAACTGGATAACAACGACAGTAAAGTTTCCATCGAGAATCCACAATGTGGATATGATCTTAAACAGTTCCTGCCGACTCTACCCGCTTCCGCTGCTTCTTGTATCGCCGTACCTTGCATGGTTGTGCGGAACACTTGGTTGGTAGTGATAGTATTTACCATCCTGTCGAAGGATGATACCTTGTCGTCTACGCCATTGTCCTCGTCGCTGACTGCGGCAGCTGCCTGTTGTGAGTAAGTGCACACCGCACGCTGCATACACGAAGTCGTGTCAATACCATGACGAGCCAAGACATCGTCGATTTTCGTCAGGGTTTGGGCGAAGCCATTATCTTCACCTACGGATCAATCGTATAAATGAAGTAGAACGAACGATCTATGTGATAGTAAGAAGTGGGGGTGAAGCGTTGTGTTTCTTGTAAAATTTTATATATTAATAAAAATATCGAAAAAGGACATCATAGTTCTCTCATTTGTACAATATATTAGACATCTTGTAATGTTTGAGCCCTAAAACTAATTAAAATTCAATTAAATCAAGTGATTCGTACTATTAATTAAGAAATATGAGATTTTACAGAGATGTACCAAAGCTCTGTATAAGAAATAGAACATGTGACCAATCAGAGCTTGAAAATACCAGGTTAATTTTTTCGTCGACTAAATGCCTTCTTTTTGTGCATTATTGTTCGCATTAAATGAAAGTTGAGAACATGATAAGAATACATGATCTAATGTATCGCAGAGATCTCACAGTTATGTGTCTTTTTTTACTTTTTTTTCAAAATACATTATTTTATTTCTTTTAATATTCTTATTCTTTTAATACGTCCCCTTTTTTTTCAAAATACATTATTTTATTTCTTTTAATATCCTTATTCTTTTAATACGTCCTCTTATTTTCGATATTTATTCTCAGTACTTATTCTCGTCGCCTTACCCCCGGTAAAGTTTACAAATATTATACTTACTTCTCGCATAAGCGCCGTAAGTACCAGACAAGATATAGAGCAATTTTGGTATGATAAGGATTGATCCTACACCTATGATGGCACCCAACAGAAGTCCGCCGAGATCGATCTTTGCTGGTGCGTAAGGTGACATGCCATAACCCTTAAAGTTGATTAAATAGATTTAATATTGGGAATACTCTGACTATTCTATAGTAAATTTTTAACTAATTACTATGTATTACTTACACTCCCTGTACTCCCGATATTAGTAAAACCGAATCGCGCTTCTTGGTTACGATCTGTGATATCATTCGAATCACGTTTTGGTGTTTCTTCGCGTTGATTAATTTGAGATGTCATGGCCACTTGATCTTGCACTTTCGCCTGCTTTTCTATGTAAGTAATGGAACTAGGTACGAACCTGTTGATGAAAATATTGCTGATGAATCCGGATAATTTTCGAATGTCTTTTAGACATCTTCTGTATACTTTTGTGACATTTAGAAGAAGAATTATCAGAATCGTAAGTTCCTCTCTATAACAAATATGTGTAAGAAACTTACCCTCCATCATTAAACTTTGGACTGCAATTGGCGAGTATAGCGAAACAGCTTAATGCCGTAGTTAAAACCCGCGAGATGTGAAACAACATCTGAAAAGGAAAAAAAAAATATATATATATATATTATAGATATTCGGTGATCTTTTAAGTAATATCGGTCGGCTGAATAAATTCTTGAAAATTTTTAAATAGCAGTGTTTTAAAATTTATCGCGATAAAATCGCTTTCCGTAAATAAAGAGCGCAACTTCTTAGATAAGTTGAAATGTTCTATTCAAATTTTGTATAAAAAGAAAAAAAAAACATTCACTATGATTTCGAATCATAGCGGTCTTATTTTAACTATATCACTAGATTGTCATCGAAATATCATGTGATCTTTTAGGGAAATTTTGTCGTTATGCACATCGTATTATTCATGATAAATAAATATTTTGATATTGAATATATGAATGTAACAATCAATGAAATTGGAATACCTTTGGCGACGAAGTAAACTCTAAAATAACTGCGAAGTGTAAAATTTAAGATTGATTTTAGTAGACGATATGGCGTTTCGTTGTCAAGACTGGCTGCACGGAACCTGCTTTCTGTCATATATAGTCGCTTTGCTCGTCTGAACATGGCAAGTCGTGGACATAATTGAAGCGACGGTTTCGCTTTCATTGTCGAGTCTCCACTTGGGATGTTTCCATCACGCGGTGCGTGACTTTTCTGTTGTTGTCGTCGTTATCGTCGTTTCGCGAAGATGTAGAAGGCCGCCTTTTCTGCAGCCTTCATCGTTGATGCCACTCTGCTTGAAATCTCGAGGCTGAAATAATAGCCCGGTCGCTAACAATGACCTTTTAAGACGTTCACTGACTTTTGACGACGATTTCGCGAAATCTTTGGCACCTCGACTGATCTTTGTTACAACGTTTTCTAGTATTACGAAACAACTCCAGGAGGTTACGGCCCGTCTGTGATCGTCTACATGCTTTGAAATTTCACAAAATGACACGATGTATACATGTGATAATTTAACAGAATCAAATCTTGTTAAGTATATTACACTAAACTAACGGCCGATGAAATAATATTCGATAATTTCTGTATAGATGGCACAACATAATTAAAAATTGTTAGAAAGAGTAAACTAATTTAATAATAATATATGTATATAGGTGGGAAATGTATTTCCGTAGTATTCAGAATTTGTGGGAAGAGAAGCTTGGGAAGAAGAATTAACAGGAAAGAAACTTTCTCTACAATTTACTTTTCAACGAAATTTCTCTACAATTTCTCATTTCCGAGCTCAATCGAGTATTAAAGAATAAATAATTTATTTTTAATAAAAAATGTTTTCTATTTCACGCTGATACTCCATATAGCATAATAGAAAATAATGTTTTAACCAATCAAAAGTCAATATCTCGAGATTCCTAGCTTTACCTAGCTATTATACGATCAGTATATACAACCTTGCATCTGTAGCTAGATACAATAGTTGTCATATATTTGTAGATTAAGCCATTTTAAACAAGAAAGTCCTGTACCATTTTGTAAATAACAAGGAAATTTTTGAGTTATTAATTAAAGAAAAAATATATGGCCATTTTCAATCATTAATAATTCGAAATTTGTTTGATAGAGGACATTTTTGTTCAATCCGTTCTATGCGCTCAATAAGCTTATCCATATTGATCTGGAACACCCTGTATATGTGCGAAACGAAGATTCCTTTCGCGAAACTCACAGCGTTCTTCCTACTCAATGAAATTCGTTCTGGACGTTACCTCGGAAAATTCGAAACGAAAGCCACGGCTGGCCGATTCTATCTGTATGACCGATTCTGTCGTGTGTAAGTCTATTCCGGAGAAAATGCATTACGATTTACAAACGCGCTATGATCCTCGCGAACTGACTGTAATTACCGGTGGGCCTCCAATGCAGAGTGTTTGTGTAAAACGGATTTCGTTCAGTGATACCCGGATTTCGTTCAGTGATACCCGGTAGTCTCTTCATAAAAGCGGTGTCTCGCGATTTCACTGCTAGGTTCGTTAATTCTGCCGCGAGAAATCGTTATTTCCTGTTTTGCCGGGGGTGGGTGAGCTGTTATAGATAGAACACCAGTAAGGATTCGCCGCATTCGTCGTTGAACAGTAACCCAACGTGTGGAAAACTCGGGAATGTATTTTATTAACTCGCAAATGGGAAGTTAAAAATATTTAAACGTATTGAAGCAAGAAGATAATGTACAGAAAAAGCGCATGTATAATGGTTTCTTACAAATTTCTAATTTTTCTAACAAATTTTACTTTATTATTACCCTCTATTTTCTAATATTTTCATTATTATCATATAGAGAGTAATTACATTTAAGAAAGAATTAAGAAAGAAATGCAAAAAGATTATGTATATATTCTACATACGTATATTCAGTCAAGATACAAGATAAATTTTGAATGGAGCGTATTCTGGGCCATAACTAAGGATCACTACGCGTCCACCACCACGCGATCATCACTAATCCATCGTCTGCACACACACACGTACAAATATATGTATGTATGTATATTTATGTATATAGTAAAAAATTTTATGTTACAAAAACACTCCACTGAAATTTGTGTGTTACTTTAACATGAGGAATATGTTAAGAAATACATAAATATATGTTAAATTAATATATTTAGTATATTACTGTTTAATATATTCGCCTTGTTGAAGTAACAAAGAAATTTCAGTAGACCGTTTTAACATAAAACTTCTTACCATATGCTATTGTATATATATATATATATATATAATTTGTTGCCATTTTAAAGGTAGCTTCATAATGCCTCTCTCATAGAAGTCTTGGTCCATATTGGCGAAAAACTCCAGTAATCGATTTTCACAATCTTCTCTTGATGCCAATTTCTTATCACTAAGGAAGTTTTGCAATGCAAGAAAAACATGGTAATCGCTTGGTGCCGGACTATATAGTGGATGCATCAAAACTTCTCAACCAAGCTCCCGGAGTTTCTGGCGAGTCACTATAGACATGTCCTGATGGAACACAACACCTCTCCTGTTGGCCAATTCTGGCCATTTCTGGTCAATCGCTAGCTTCAAACGGTCCAGTTGTTGACAGTAGAGATCCGAATTTAGTGTTTGGCCATATGGAAGCAACTCATAATAAATGATTCCTTTCCAGTCCCACCAAATACACAGCAGAACCTTCCTGGCCGTTGGTTTGGCCACCGTTTGAGCTGCTTCACCGCGCTTTGACCACGATCGTTTTTGCACAATGTTGTCGACCCATTTCTCATCCCCAGTCACCATCCGTTTAAGAAATGGGTCGATTTCATTCCGTTTGGCCAAGGCTTCGCAGATGGATCCATCATGTTTCTTTGTGTTAATTGGTGCGGCACCCAAACATCGAGCTTCTTTTTGAATCCAGCTTTGTGCAAATGGTTTAAAACTGTTTTATGGTCGATCTTTAGCTCCTGGGCGATGCTACGACTGCTAACATGCCGGTCGATTATTTCTGTGATTTTATCGACATTTTCGACGACGGGCCTACCTGTGCATCTTTAACATCAAAAGAACGGAATTGACGACACCAAAATTGCACGTAATTGGCTGTTACAGTATCGGCACGATAAACACCATTCACAATTACAGCCGCCTGGCTTGTATTTTCGCCTTTATCAAAGAAAAACTGTAAAATGTACCGAATTTTCTCTTTGTTGACTTCCATTTTTAACACCCTGTAACTCACAACTGAATGGACCAAACAAAAAACTGCAAAAGAATTTTTTTAGTGCGAAATGTCACCTTTCCAACGAGCATAAATTTAAAATTGTTTGATCGATACTTTACGAGATATCCATCTACCGAAAAAATAATGGATTTCTTTTTCCCCAACCTGATATTTCAAGTTATCTTATTCACATAAAATCGTGTATTCCATCGGATTTTTTAATAAAAACACGTTCTTTGAATGAAGCTAAACATTGGAAGGCAACAGAATTTCGATTTTTTTTATTATTTTGTGGCCCAATCATCTTAAAGCATGTGTTGCCATCTGCTAAATATTTACATTTTATGTCCTTACATTGTGCGATTCGCATTCTATTGACACTTTGTTTTTACGTACTGCCATCTTTTGAAAACGGACCGAACTAATTTGTACTCCCAATATGACGAGGAATGAGAAAGATTTTAACGCGCAGTATCGTACGAGCTGTTCGGCAAACGGATCAATAGGAAAAGCGCGCATATCCCCAGTCGCCCTCGCAGCTCAGACAGTTTCGGTTGTGAGTCTGCGTATGTCTGTTTGGGCATATTGTCGCAACAATTTTCTTGATTAAACCGACAAATTATGTGGGTTTTACGTATTACAGCATAGAATTTTGTTATTAAAATTCAACTTTCATTATCGTGATTTGAATGTGTATTTGTATATATAGTGCATTTATAGGTTACATACACGATGGGGACGAGATTCGCAGCATGTAATTATTTACAGGCACTACGTGCTGTTATTTTTTCTACTTATCAAATAATCAAATCTATCGATTATATTGTTCTTGATTATATTCTTTTTGCGTTTATATCACATATTTTTACTCATTGTATTTATATAATTAAAGAATAAAAAGACTTAGTGTATCAGCAAATGTAATGTGCTTTTAATTTGATTTATTGAATATGTAGGAAATTTTTTATTTGATTGTAAATTTGAAGGTAAAACATAGTAGTTTTCTGTTGTTGCAGTTCTGTTGCCTTGCATTTTACATATAACCGTTTAATGTAATAAACCGTTTAATTATTTTAATGTTCCTGGTCTTTCATCACAGTAATCTTGAGTGATAACGTCAGAAGTAAGAAAATATTCACCCAAAATTCTTATGAAATGTAGAAGTTTTTATTAAGATACTGAAATATTTTTGTGTTTCGACACGGAAATTTCTCTAAGATATATTCATAAAATGACATCTATGATCAAAATTTTAATTTATAGAAGACATTTACAAATCGTACGTTGATATTTGTGTTGAAAAAATAATTTGTATATGTGCAAGTTTAACTGTTTTGCAAATATCAAAGCGTAAAGATGTGAGAGAAATGTTCATAAAAAAAGATTGACGTTTGAAAAAGAATAAAAAACGAAAATAAACATTTTTTCAAACATAATGTTGAAAAACTTTTAAATTGCAGATAGTCTAAAGTTGACTAGTTTACATGATTACTACCAACGATTGCTCCATGGTAGTCAACCGATGCCTTCTGGTCTGGACATTGCAAACACATTGAAGTACTTTTCCCAAACTTTATTATGTAAGTATTAAAGAATTGGCTTTTCCATATATTGTAGTTATTTGTGTCATTGTTTTTCAAAAAATTATCGCTCTGATATTTCACAAATCGATAGATTGTAAAATTAACATTTTTAGTTTTCTAAATTTAAATATATAAGGGTTCCGATGTGGAAGAATAATTATTAATATTAGGCCGTAAGGAGCACAGTATTTTTTAATGCCACTTAATATTAATAATGTGAAATTACCGATATGAATGTGGGAGGATAAATTTTTGCTCATTATGTATGTTAAATGCACCGAATTTTATCTGATAAACAAACGCGATGATAGCCTTCCATGTACAAACTGACATTGAGCCCGAGTAATATTCGTTATTAATTTTAATCCTTTGTGAGAAAACTCTTATTCTATTGTTAACGAAATTAGTAAGCAATTTAATGACTACTGATTATGTTGCGAAAAATACGGTCTCAGTCAGAAATTGGACCTTCCCACTTGTGAATACCGATTGCGAGAAGTAAATAGGATAACTGTAGCGGTTCTGACCCAAGCTGCCATATTGTAGTGCAGCGTGGGACGTCATCAATGACGTCATTGAGAAGGGAATGTTCCATCGCCGCTATGAAAATCGATTTTATATTGAAACCAGTGAAATCGATTACTATAAATTCTTAATGAAAAAAGGTCGATTATATGAAAATCGGTACAGAAAAAATCGTAAGATGGTTTTTCCAAACCAAAGTAATTTTAATTTTTTATATAAAAGTCTATTTTACCCATCTTATTACAGCCGCAAACAGCATCTTATTGACCAGTTATAGAGCTCTTTCTGTATATGATATGAATCGATTTTCTGTTCTGAAAGAATCACATTAAAATTGAAAATAATCGATTAAAAATAATCGATTTTCATCAAGAGAAAATCAATTCTTTTAAAGATTGATTCGAAATCGAACATCACTGTGTGTAGAAAATTAAGCATTATTCGAATATGAGGCGATTCATTTTAATCTTAACAAACAAATATCTTGAAAATATGCAAAAAAACATACTAAATAAAAGTTGTATGTTGTATAGGAAGTTGTACAATGGTGATCTTGGTTTAACTTTAAGACGTCTACTTTTTCCTATAATCGTTAATTAACAGTTATTACTTATTAATTTATTGCCTATTCATTTTATCAGTAATGGGGTAAGAGTTTTCAGAAAATTTAAATTAATAACGAATATTACCAGAACTCAAGAATCGGTTCATATGTGGAAAGCTATTGTCATGTTCATTTACTCAGTAAAGTTCGGCACATTTCATATACGATGAACAAAAATTTACCCTCCTTATAATTTGATATTACTAATATTAAATGGGATTAAAATATCCGTGCTGTGCTCCTTACAGCCCAATATTGGTTTTCGATTTCGTTGAAATTATTAAACATCTTTTAGCTTTATTAAAAGAAGTACGTGAAGCGCCATTCGAGATGATCAAGTCACAGAAATTCGATGGAGAACGAATGGCGTTATATCCGAATTTGGATTACAAACAACTTTACAATGCACTGACTCAATTGATCGATGTAGTACCGTTAATCCATATTGGCCTGCAAGGTTTGTTGCTGTTTTTATAAATTTAAATAATAGTTGACATATATATAGTTGATATATATTTATGGATTTAAATTATTTTTAGTGGTAGTTGTACACTTTACAAATTGTCGATCGCTCTGTGGAAATTTTCTTTTGGAAAAGAATTCCTTTCTTTTATAAAATAATACTTATTTTCCAGCGTTTGGGAAAGCTTTATTGCAGTGTTTAGCATGCCTGTTGCCATTCCTTGATCATGATATGATCGACAATATACCATATCTAGCTGCCAGTACGATATCGGTGCTTTCCATGGAGCTTCATGAAGAGATTGTTAATTATCTCTGTTTTTACATTTTACCATTCACCATCAGTAAGTTTATTTTTTAATATTATATTTTCAACCATCACTTCAACTGTCATTGAATCCAGTTAATAATAATAAGCACAACCCGTCTTAAAATAGGAGGAAGAATAGACGAGTATGAAAAGAAGATTTTGTTGTCGATAACTTTCTTCAGTAGTCATTAGTAATGAGTGTAATACTCGTCGTTAATGCAATTTCCAAATTAAACTTTTAAAGTCGTCAACACAATATTATTCAACGTTATCTTTTAATTATTACATTAACTTTGATTTTGAAGTCAGTAACTGACGATTATAGCTGAGTTAGTGCACTTTAATTGTGACAGGGTGGTTAAAATTATTATTAATAGTATTGTTATTAACTGGATTCAGTGATAACTGAAGTAATAGCTGAAAGTATAATATTAAGCTAGGAATAGGATAAAATAATTTTATATATTATACATTTTTTGTAACTTCCAGCAAGAAAAATCGAAATTGGTGACGAAAATGCTGCTAGTCAATCAGTGGCCGCTGTAATAATGATGGTGTTTCAATATTCCAGTAATCCAGGTATTATTATTATTACATGTATGGAAGTAAATGTATGTAAGTATGAATGTATGTAAGTTACATGTATGTATGTAAGAAAACTTGTTTGATAAATTTTGAAAAATAATGGGAGATCAGCACCTTAATAGGTAAATTTGGGGAATATCGCAACAATAAGAGGGTAGTTTGAAAAATTCTCGATCTGACATAGAGATGATACTAGTAGTATCAAATGGCAATGGATGTTTCTAAACTTAAATCTTCTAGAGGGCGTACCATAAAATTTCAAACACATGCGTTTAGTAGTTTTTGTTGTGGTCGAATAAAGCAAACAAGTTGTGATGTGTCTCGAAAAATAGATAAAATTGAATGTCTCGTAACTTCCCGTTTTGTATAAGACCGTCTTAAATTTATCCTCAGATGTTTCGTAGCCAATAAAATGAACTGTAGAGTATCTGAAGATAAACTTAAGACGATCTTAAATATAAGACTTGAATACCGGCCTATGATACTGATCTAAATGTGTATGGCGTAATACATGTATAATTCTTAATGTTGCATACAACGTCATTGTTAACAATGTTTGATCGAAACATTAAAAATAATGTTTCTATACTATTTTAATATTTAAGAATATAATATTATCAAGTAATAGTTTTAAAATATTTATAAAATATTATGTCAAAATGCTTATAAAATCAATGTTTCAAAAAATTGATTTAACGTTTCTTGCTTACTGGGTAGTTACTACCCAATTCTGTATATAAGATGTAGTATATGGTATATTATCAATACGTTATATGCATTTATAGTACGTCTAGTATAAGTTCAGTATATTTGAATGATATGTTGTCCAGGCAATTACCGCTTAATAAATCGTATCAGTAAACATTTAGTTTCTCAAACATTGAAATGAGAAAGCGTGTTGAATCAATATAGAGATAAAATAAAAACATTCCTCCAGCGCATCATTGCCAATTGCTGGAGTGCCTAATGGCCTTGAAACCGGAGGTGGTAAAAGACATACTCTGCGTCGTCGCTTACGGTACCGCACCGGCAAAAGCATCAGCAGCAAAATTGCTCTTCTATTACTGGCCGTCATTTAATCCAAATTTATTCGATCGCCGTGCTGTATTGGTAAAATTTGCCAGTGAGTATTTTAAATATATATCGAATTACAGATACTTTTAAAATGCAACGCGGGCCTTGCCTGTTATCTTAATTATTAAACTATTATTAATTATATTAATTATTGAACTATAATACTTTTAAACTATTGTCTGCATTTTAGATGATCTTACTCCCTTCGTGTGTCAACGGGATAGCTGTCCAAATGCTGGAAATGCGGAAGCTGGTAAGGTTTGTTACGATCATCGCATCTCTATCACTTTCGCTACTGAATCTCCCCCACCGCTTTATCTTTGCATCGAATGTGCAAACGAGATCCACCGGGAACATCCGAATCAGATGTTCTATGACATTCTGCATCCGATGCAACAAGTATCGATGATCTGTGAGAACAAAGTAAGTGCGTTAGAATTTGTTCAAGGTTACATTAATGTTTGTCGAATATATAAGAGATGCTAATATTGATCTGTTGAGATTAGAATTGCAGAGCGGCGGATAAATCAGCCATCAGCATTTGTTTCTCGACAGAATGCGCGAGTTATAACGGAAATCACCCTATACGTTATTGTCAACAATGTCACAATATCCGTCACAATAATCGTCGCGGCGGCGATCATATTTATCACACGGCACTCCCACATATCTCGCAGCTAGATTCGCAAACACAAACCTATATGGTTCAAGCAATTGTCAGGTGAAACATGATTTTATCTATCGGCGAGCAAATTCTGTCACTTAGTTCGTAAGGCTCAGCTTAAGCCTTTCACCTTACAGTTTACTGAAGGAAGCCGAATCGTTAAGTATTGATAATAGGGAGATGATGGAGTTAAGTAGTAGTACTAGTAATAAAGGCGGTACAGGATTCTCAGGAGGTGGAAGTAGCGGAGGTAGTACTGGTGGCGGTGTAGGAAGCACGTTTGGCGGTCACTGCGATCCCACGAGTCTGGAAGAACGACAGTTACTTGGCAGATACGGCGTATGGTTGCTCGTCGGACTTTGTACTCCAAATGAGGATACCCCGGTTGAAATACTGGGCCGTTTATTATCAATGTTATTTCATTGGTTTCATGTCACTGCCTACTCTTTCGATGGTACTAAAAAAAGTCTTATGCACCTTATCTTTTCTGTTGGTAATTTAACACTTTGCATATATACACTTTACTCAAGTAGACGTAGTTAGATGTAATCAGGTAGAGCGAAGTCGGTTTGAACATGTGAACAATATATCGTTATGTAAGTTCATTTTTTTCTTTTTTTTTTTTTTATATAATCATTGTAATACTACAAACACGTTAGATTATATCATGTTCGAGAGGAATGTTAGAAATACATGAATATGAAAGCCGCTCTGCTTAACACTTTGCAGTCCGCGGCCACCCGAAAACACTTGACTAATGTGTTTAAACTTATCGAAGACATAATACGAAATTAGCCGCGCTTTTTTGTTTTTTTTTCTTTTTATACAAATGTTAATATTTAAAATCATCATATGTTTATCGTGTTTCAATGTATCGATAATACAAATGCTGTCAGATTGCGACGGTACCATGCCGTCAACGGTCCGTAACGACGAAACGAGCGCGACGGCATTATGCCGTCGACGGACCGCAAAGTGTTAAGCAGATATTTAGGCCGAAAATACTTAACCGAATTCTCTCTGCTCTATATTACAGATTAGATTTGTAGGGGAAATATTAATTCGAGAATTTATTCATCAAAAGTTGCACGCAACATATCGAACATACTTGCACACGACTTGACACATTCCAAGTTTGTGATTAAATGTTCTTCTTTTTAAAGAGAGCTTTTGCTGTATTGCACGATAAACTTTCGAAACGATAAATGTCAAATTTGTTGATGTGTTTGTGTGCGTTTATTGTGCTCTATGTCGCCGCCAGGTCGATAATATAATGATAAATCACTGGCGTTCTCGAATCAATTTTAACATTCCTCTTCCGTCATAATCGATTTTTCGATTGATTGCAAATCTTTCAGGCCAAGCGGAAAGCGCTCTCGAGAAATTAAAAACAGAATATGTTTGTGGCTGGCTTTCGGAAGTTATGAAAACGCATTATGAAGTATTCATTTCTTGTCTTCTACCGCATCCAGCGGACTACGTCAGAGTTGGAGGACATTGGTGAGAGAGAACTCATATTCATTTACAATAAATAATATATTTATGGTAAATGTTTAAATTAACTGACCCACCTCTAATGACTTCCACATATGTTGTCAAGCACATGTCCCTGAGTAATATGTAAAAAGTTTCAACTATCGCTCATTGTTTGTTAAAAGGTTATAAACAAAAGGTTAAAAACAAATTTTCCTAAATAGACCATAATTTTCTGACACCGTATAAATAATATTCCTGGCTATAATTTTTTTACCATGTCTTTGTAATTCGAAATATTATAAATTTTTCTCTCAGTATATGAGAATGATTCCCAAATAAAAGAATTATGTCAGAGGACGTCATATTTACGATAATGTGACGTCTCTGATGTCCCTGACGACATTTTCCTACTCAGGATTAAATCATCACACAAATGTGCTTGTTATTCTGAAGGGAAACTTTGGCTTCACGGACATCACATTTGAAAGACGGTCTGAATCGTTTATTTTGTTTGGTACCATATGAAGTAATCACACCCGATGTATGGGATTATGTAATGCCACATTGGATGGAAGCGATAGTGAATGACGTTCCCGAACACGAACTTCACGAGCTAAAAATGATACTATGGTAGGTGTATACTCGAAGAAATCTTTAGATATTTAAATTTCTGAGTTTACGATAGCTTAATAAACTCATATTGTAGCAAGATTCTGGATCCGGACATGAGTCCTTTGGGATTTGACGCGAAGAAGATGTATAATTTCATCGCGAAACGATTCGTTAATACAAGCGCAAAAGTGCAAGAACAGGCCCTTAACTGGCTACAAACACTTACTATGCTAGAAATAATGATACCACTTAGCCAGCTATTTTCAATATTCAGCGACGGAGTCATTGTCATGCAGTCAATGAACTCCGTGGAATCAGAGTTAAAGCCAAGCAAGTCCACGAAAGACGGCGATAGCAACGTTACATGTGCGTAATTAACATCATTGAAATCTCTATACTTTTATAATGAACAAACAAATATTGATGCAATTAAATTTATTCTTGAAACATACAGGTCCCGTCGTGGAAAACGAATCTGGCAAGTCAACACCACTTTCCGATGATATGGCACCAACGCCAAGGCATATGGAATTCATGACGAACGCGGAATTAAATTTATCCTGCTGTATTCTCATGCTTGACATATTATTGAAACAAGTGAGATAGAAAGTTACTCTAAATTTATATATAAAATGAAATTAATACAGAGTTAAATTAATATAGTAGTTATACATATAATCGCGGACATAAAAGTTGACCCATTTTCTTTCGTTCTACAATGCACTTCAGAACATGTAGATGTTTAACGGAACATGTAGATATTTAACGGACAGTAGATGTTTAACGGAAGAATTTATTTTTGAGAAATTCTCAGGAGTTAAATTTTCTTATTGGATACTTTCTGAAATATACCGAGAAGAAAATATGTCAAACTTATAAACAACTTATATATATATATATATATATATTGAAAGTTTAAATATTCATATTTAATTAAAGACTAAAATAATAAGTATGTCCAGCGTTATCTACATGTCCAAATATTGATACTTTTTTCTCAATGAAAACTTTGAATTTGATTCAGATGGAACTTCAGGGCGTAGATAAGCATACTGGAATCAATACATGGGTTTGTCAGGATGCTTGCCATTTGATGAAATCCATAGTTGCGTCCAACTGGAATAGCTGTCATACGTGCAACGTATCAGATACTGAATGTACTTATTGCGAGTCGAGAGTAATTTGGCACCAGCTGTGTCTGCAATTAATTACTTATATAGTACCAGAAAATCTAGCATATCCACCTGATGTTAGTTGAATCAATTAATAATTTAATTTAACCCTTTAACACTTATCGTTTAGTTAATGACATGTTAGGTACAAATATAGAAAATGTGAGTTTTGTTTTGGGCTTTACTTATGTTTTAAAAGATATCACACTGTGAAAGACTTCAAAAAATGCCATACATGTAGAGTGCCAAGTGCTTTTGTTGACGTTTAATCATAAGTTAGATTCGAATAATTTCTTCTAGCTATTTTAACAAATTAAAAAAAAATTTGAAGCTTGTAAAATTAATCTCCTCGGCAATGTAATATGAATACTTATAATTACGGCAATTTTTTAAATTATTCAATTATATGTTTGGTATAAAATATTTTTTTATTTAATAGGATAGAAATGAGTACGGTAAGGTAGTAACAGAAGAAAAACAACTAGGTTCACACTATATCTATCGTCTTTCAGACAATCGTGGACGAAACTGCAGACGATCATGGCCGTAAAGGTTCACCAGAAACGACAAAGAAGAGTGATTCAAAACCGGACGTGGTTATTAATATGCCGGTGCCAGAAATGCATTCTGTAGGCGGTGTCTTAGTCCATATGCCACACGTATGTTTCTTCATAAGCAAATTCCAAAATTATAATCCTTACGTGTTAGCGTAACATTTAATGTTTGTCTCATTGAAAGTTTTTGTATGTCTACAAAATATATTCCAATGAGGCAAACGTTGAAAAACATTTGTCGCATATAACATATCGTCCACACAACCCTTGCAGAAAAGTATTATTGGCTGGTCAGTAATAAATTACTGTATCTCAATAATTATATTACTAATATCTAATGATTTTGAGTAATTAAATTACAGAGATATTAATAATATAGAGTAATTAAGTGATAATGATGACAGTGATAAACATGAGAGCTCTAGTGATAAATAATTACTAGTGCGAAGTATTTTTCAGAAATTAATTACATGTAAAGTACTGCACCTAGTAATTAAAACCTATATAGTCGGCATAATAAATGATGCAACATTTTTTTCGATAAGTTTCACAACGCGATCCAATAGGAAAATGTATTCCTTGAGAATTGTTAAAAGACGAATTCTTCTATTGGACATTGAAAACATTGAGAAACTCATCGAATCATGAAAAAATGCAACAATTAAAGTGGTATTTTTTTTTTTTAATAAATTGATCTAACATTACTAATTTGTTTCATGTCGTTAGCATCAACATAATTTTGCTGCAAACAATATTCTGTAATCGCAATAATTAATTCTTGCAGTAACTCGCCAGAAAATCACTGAAGTATTGACTAGTGATTATTAGTATTTTTTTCCAGAGATTATCAGTAATACTTTTTTGTAAGTGAACCCGCAACTAATGAAGCAGCATGCCATTTAAACTATATAAATTGTGTATGTATCCGTATGTGCTTCTCTCTCTCTCTCTGTCTCTTCTTCTACGACACGGCCTGATCACAAAACACGGTAGGCTAATCTATGTCATTGGAATAGCTATCTTGATCGTTTATATCAGTTCTTCGAACAGATCATGACAGCCACAGTAGAGACAGTTTCGGAACAGCTGGACCTTGCAGCTATTATACCTACGGAGAAAGTCATGTCGGCAGTCGCAAGAACAGTTACACTGTCTGAAACAGACGTCGGTGAGTAAATTCATTGTAACTTCTTAACCCATCAGTTCCCAAATGAATTGAAACCACAAATTTCTGTTTCCTCTTAGGAAATCTCATGTTTTGGAACCTGGAAGGAAACCAAATTTATAGGTTTTGAGTGTTTCAGAAAAGTGGTAATGATAAAGTTTGAAAGGTTATTTTTCGCTTATGTATCGCTTTTATTCAGTATTGACAACTTGTTTTAGAGTCACTAATATCTAAACTGAACATTTAGAGCTATGTTATAGGTTAGCAATGTTATTTCGATGATTTATAAGTCAAAAATATCGTGGCACCTGGAAGGTGCATTGGGAACTGACAGGTTAATAACGCGTAACAGCTTCGTTACGACGACGTTTCCTTCATTCCGAAAACTCATTTGATTAGCAGATTAATATTTGTACAAAAGCAAAATTTTTACAAATACGTATTTTTAGCTACCGCAACGGTGAGCGTGGCAAAACCTCACTTAATAGGTGAAGACGACGAACCTGTGAACCTAAGCCCGGAAACTGAAATGGACGACTTCTGGCATACCTCTGTAGGAAAGTTTCGCTTTACAATAGAAGAATTGCCGGAATATCTCCAATATATACATAAACTACTGAAGGTACTACAAAAAATTCTACAATGTATTAGTCTAGGAAGTATTTTTTTTAAAGCGCAGAAATTATTGGTGAAACTATTGATTCTTAGTTGAGACTTTTATTTCTGATAAAATCCTAATTCACAGGAAATAATGACGATTGACAAGCCTGACATACTATATTACATGCTACAATGCTTAAATATGTTGTGTTTGTATGGCGATGCGTTTAATGTTGCGGTAAAAGACCATCAAGGATTCTTTATATGGTGCCAGGAAAACTTACTGATAAGGAAGTATGTATTTTAAATCTTAACCTGGAACTTTATAGAGCAATGTCAAGGAGACAAGATATATGCAAAAAATAGATTCTAATGAAAATTTCTGTATTGTAATTGTATTTTATAGTTTGTGGGAACTTTTAAATGCCGAACATTCTCACATAGCGCAAGTGACTGTCCCACTATTATTGCATTGTGTGACGTTGCCTTGCGGCACTGACACTTTTTGGCGGCTTGTGCAAGAAGAATTTCACAATTCCGATTGGCGCATTAGATTTGTTGCAGGTAATCACATATCGGTTTCATCTTTCTTTATAGGTTGTTATTGATAAATATTATTTAGATTTGCAGTAGAACTTCTATATAAATTCTCCGTTTTTCCCTCCATATGTACAGTCACTAACATTACAATTTTTTCCATACTGTTGCTTAAGAGACAGTCGAGCTATGAGCTAATAGCTGTGCTATGCGCACAGCTCAGTACTTAATGGAAAAATATTTTATTATAATGTTTTAGAAAGCTCTTGAAATAAGCTACAAGAATATGCAATAAAAGTTGGGATTTCATTAAAAAAACGTACGGAAATTTAACAACTTCGCTATTGCGGACAGAAAATCTCGATATGTTTTACACCCCTATCTCCCAAAAAGAGGTCTTATATGGAGGTTCTACTATACAGGATATACTTCTATATACAAAATATATATAGAATAAATAACAGAGTAAAGAGACTATAGAATGAATAACATATTATTTTATATATTCCGGATTAAATAATGACAACTTTGTAATATTTCAGTCGAACGTGTCACGTTAATTGCGAGGTTCATGGACTCAACACCATTGCGAAACATGTCGAGTCTGCAAGCTGCATTAGCAAATGCATTTTGTTATTTAATTACAAGCATGGACGACAATAACGTCTATGTTGCACAACGTGCAACTTTATATCTCGGTACTATTCACGATACAGCAATCAGAGTGAGTATCATTTTTTTCAATTTAATAAAATATTTCAGAACGAATAGTTTACATGTATTAAGTTCATATTATTCTATCAGTCGTTAATTTTATGCCTGGAGACACAATTTGATTCCGTTATCGTGGATCGTCCTATGGTACTGCAATCGCTTTACCAGCTTCACAATAGTCTTAGCGATCGACGTATTCTGACGTGGGAATTCTTCTTAAATCGATTCGATACACTCTTTCTCGAGGCCCAGATCAATTTGGAGAAGTCGGGAGATATCGCATACTTGCGCGGTCAGTCACATACAACAAGTATAATCTTGTCTTGTACATTCAACTTTATATCATATATATTTGCATGTTATCATTAAATAGGTTCCTCCATTGTAGATTTGAAGAATACGGATCTGAATAGCGAAGTGTTCATGAAGAAGTTGCATCGCGCGCACGAAGCATTATCCCAATCTGACGGTAGTGGGACAAGCTCTATAAAAACTCTAAGCGCGAGTTTTGGCACAAAATGGCCTTATAAACGTACGATGTCCGCACCAGCATCGATGATACCTCGACAAGATACCAAGCAAGGTATGCGTTACTTTCATCCTCATCTCATTACCTCGCCTTTTTATGCACTCCAGTTATATCTCGTACACTGTGTGTTTTTTTTTCTTGTTTCCCGCATACTTTATGCAGAGAAGGAAAAAGTGTACAGCCGACAGTATTCTGCACCCATCCTGAAAAGGAAGAGCTCGAGATTCGGATTGGGTCAGTTGTTAGGGTCTACTCCGTCTAATAACAGTATTCCAGGTAGAGTAGCGTGTTTGCCTGCGTAGTTAGTAGACGATGGTAAATGTGCGCAAATGTTGCTCGTTCATATCATACGGTCCATTAAAGGATAGTTAAAACATTCGATCGCAACGTGGATTGTTCGTAAATGAGTCCGAACGGTAAGTAAGAACGTAGAATCGCCAGACATTATTAATGGTTGCTAACATATAATATCAAGTGCAGAGCTCATTTTTCTTATAAAATTATTGCTTTTAGTTCATTTGCTTTATAAGAAAGGAGTGCCTATACTTTGATCGAAAATGTATATTTCTAATCAACCACAACAACATTATTATTTCGTCATAGAAAATCTTTGGATTTGATAAGGAAAGTTTTATATATAAAAAGTAAAATAATTTTCTGTCAGCTAAAAGTGTTTTTATCACTTTCTGCAAATTATGAGTTAAGGGCCTCTTTTCTTCTATATCGCTTCGACTAATTTTTGCGATTAAACATGATGATATGCATGTTTTTTTCTTTACTTGCATACTTATTTATTGTTAATTCTTTCAAATACTGAAACATTAGGTAGATCTAGAAATAATTCATATTTAATTATTCAATTATTATTTAATTTGTTTAATTTTAATTATTAAATTACTAAATTATTTTATTTGTACATTTTATTTTTCTTTTTTAGCAAACTTTTTCGATTTGTAAATGTGAATTAATGTTAGCAAACGTTACAGATGGTCATATACATTCACTGAATATGGTCGACGAGGCTAGTACGTTACCGGGATATACTCATAAAATCGTGGACCTTGAAGAAGCGGACAAAGAAACGATGCACTTGTTAGTGTTCCTCTTGATGCAATTTCTCTCGAGACAAGATCAGGTAAATTGTTAATCTGTTCGAATCGTAATGCACTTCCACACAACAAAACATTCGCTTAAATCGTATGGTATACAAGGTGCTTGGATATAACCCAGCAAATACTAACTGTAACATAATACATTCTATACTACACACATGCGCGTATACATGGGTGTGTGTGGGTGTGTGGGGTATATATATATATATATATATACTCCACACACACGCGCACGTGTGCACGCGCATACACATATACAGGATGTCTCATTTTAAAAGACCCATTGAAACATCTTTTTAGAAAAACAATTTAGACAAAAACGTTTTAAACAAAAGTTGTAGGGTTCAGAGGAAGACATCCGATGGTGACCATGTCTTTATTATGGATGTCCTTCCTCAAGGTCACTTGAGATCAATTTGACCCCACATGTTGCTATATGTTTTTAACATAAAATTTTTTCCTCTATCGATTTCCCGTATCAAAAATAGGCCATCCATAATAAAGACATGGTCACCATCGGATGTCCCCCTCTGGGCCCTACAACTTTTGTTTAAAACGTTTTTGTCTAAATCGTTTTTCTAAAAAGATGTTTCAATGAGTCTTTTAATATGCGACATCCTGTATATGTATCAACATGATTTAATTAGGCCTACCCAACGGACGAAAAACCATTGTCGAAAACACTGGGTATAGTCTTGCGACATTTATATCTTCTTTTGGGATACAATCAAACTGAACGCACTTTCCATACAACTCCGCAACGTCTAAGGTAAGATTTCTACTGCTAATTAACAATTAAATATTTGCATGTTTATAATATAATCATTATAAAATTAACAATTAATCAAATGTCAAAACTATTGTAGACTGTCGCCGGTTTTTAATGTCTTCATCGCCAATTTGCCGCAACTTTTAGACCAAAATCACGTGATGGGTTTATTAATGACATCGCCGGTTCTAGCAATATTACAACATTGTCCTTGTCCACCACAAACTACCCCACCTACCGATCACCAGCCACCGAGCTATAGTCTTTGGTATTTGGAGCCACACATTAGAAGATCTTGGTTGATGTCTCTGCTTGTTATTTTGTACAAGGTAAAAAGAAGATATGTAAAAAAGTAACAATAGAATATTATATACAGTACACTCGGCAATAGTGAATTGTTTAGTGAACGATGCGAGGCCGGAAAAAACACTTCTCGTTCCATGCATCATTCCCTGCTAATCGTCAGCAACTTTCTTTATAAAATTAAGATTCAGTTCCTTTTCGATAATTTTATGGATCGTACGAACGCGACACACAAATTCCTCACGCAGTGAACCCATTGGAACAAAGCGGGTCTCGTAGTGATCAGTAAGATGATGAATGAAACAAAGAGAAACAGAGAAGAAAAAAAGAATACAATATGAACTTACGTGTAATAAATCTGTATAAAACTTGGAGTAGTATATATATATATATATATATATATATATATAGTTTTTTAAGTATAAAACGTATTTTTATACAAAATTATTTCGAATTTATTTATATAATAAAACAATTACGATATATTTGAAATAAAAAACTATATAGTCGGATGATAGATAAATTAATCGGATGATTTCGCACTTGTTTATATTGGTTAAACTATTTTAGTGTCAGTATGGGCAACAACCATGGTGTAATCAGCTTCAAGCATTAGTGAAGATAGTGTTGAATACACTCGAGACGCAACATCATCAATGCAAGAGGATTCCGGCGACTGTGGTTATGGGTGCGCAACCTTCCAGATCTCGTGGTAAAATTTCTAAAATTCTGTAAGATTTAAAAGATTCAAAAATAATTGTAATTCGACGCTTTAGACGTATCCCAACCATCACTCGGAGTGGAACACGATTTGACGACAAACGCTGTGGGAGAAATCGACACGGAAACTCCGCCGATGCGCTCGCTGTGGTGCCTGATGCATCAACGTAGCCCCGGTGGAATGCATGGACAAATGGAGACCCATTGGGAGGAAAATAATGGTCCAGCATGCCGTTATTTCAACAAACACTTTGTAACAAGGTCAGTAAATTTGTACTAATACATACTTGAAAGAATTTTCCCTTGCGCGTGGTAAGCACGAACGATGAGGGATTACATATTTATTCAAGTAGTGAAGCAGCGAGAAGTAGTGAAAGAAACCCAGATATTTGTTCTCGAGTAGCATTACCGATATCACTTCTAGGAAATTATCCTTCGAGCTTTTGTATTACTTGGAATAATCTTTTGTCATTGTAATGTTCTTCTTAGATGATACTTAATAGCTATATAATATTAGTGTTGTCATGTTTCTGTCTTTACGTAAGTAGTGGCATGTTACAATTTGTCGCTATTGCGAATGCTTTTGCGAAGCTATTCGGTCAATGCGGACGATACGGAGTCTGAGCTGGCCGCAATTCCTGAGAGCCCAAAATCTGACAGCACCTTACATGGCAGCAGTGGAGGATCTCTCGGAGAGCTAGATGATATGGTTCAAAGAAACGCATTCCTTCAAGAACCACGCATGTCGATTATATCGGACGGAAAGGGCGCGATTGTCGACCCGAATAATCGAAACATTAGTAAACTGAGAACAGAATCCGTGGCAAAGCCTATATGGTTCTTGGGAAATGAGGATGAAACTTCTCAGGTAATAACATAGCTTATTACCAGTCTCTAACAATGTTTTAAGATTTAAGAATAAAAACATTTTATTCTGCTTCAGGGAATTAAAAAAGTAGAACCTCAAAAAAAATGGAGCGTCTACGAAGGGGTAAAAATGATGGTAACGAGCACATTTCTAACTGGTCAGCAAGAACTTCCCAAGTTTCATCCTAAAACATCTACGCCACCGGTAAAAAATGCCAAAAGACAACTACCATACAATGGAGATACTGTTCCACCAAAACCATATGATTTGTTAGGCGCTTTAGCTGTTGCTACGAGCATTTCTCACATCCAAAGGTAACATTTTTCATCTTATGGAAACGAAATAAAGTAATCTAACAAAACTCTTTTTTTTTTTCTTTTGTAAAACTCAAGTCTTTTCTTGAAAATTAATACTTTCTTTTGTGCTATTCTTCTAGTTACATTGCGTGTTACACTTTAAACTTTCAGATCCGAATCGACAAAGGAAGAGAATAAGCAGAAGGACAGAGAGAAAGAGAGAGAAAATGAAGAGAAAGAAAAGGGGACAGAGAGGGATGTGGAAAATCAGAAAGAAAAGACACTTGTCGCAAAAACCACTGTCGTTAATACAGAATCACCAAACGCAAAACATTTAGGCAGGCAGAAACACGTGGAGCAGATCACAATCACAGCGACATCGCCAGTTTCACCTTGTCAAGTGATTACAATGACGAACAGCGATCATTCGAGTTCGCCGGCGCTAAGTTCTATATCGTCGCAGGTCATAAGTACAGAGAATGGACAATCGACTGGCGTACCTATTCCACAACCCTTGATGACTACTCCAACGGTCGAACGTTTATTACCTATTGGTACAATAGTTCGCGCTACTGGTAAATTTTCTCTACAATATTGAATCATTTCATATTACATACATTTCATATTACAATACATGTAGTAATACAAATTATCGCTTAAATCTTTTCCCGTTAATAACTTTTAAATGGCCGGCCATTTACATCGAATATGCGTGATTTCCTTGTTAATTGAAAATTAATTTACTCAGCTCTGGTAATAAAGTATAAAATTGCATTCTGAGTGCGTAAATGGTAAATAAAATAAATATTGCTTGTACAGGCCCGCGAACAACGCAACGTGTATTAAGATGCGAAGACACATACGGTTCTCCAGAATCGCCGTTGTCAAAAATGGATATCTTGACAGTCAGTAAGTGAATTTTTTTCGATCATTTAACCCTAAAGTACAGCACATCTTAGGCACCAACTTAAAACACGTCACATAGGAGACCCATGCAACTTTGAGAAGTCATAACTTTGATTTAGATCAATATTTTTTGGAGAAAAATAAATTTTTAGGGGAAAGATAACGATCCGAAAAATCCAAATCGACTTTAATTTTGTAGACTCATCATTCGAGCAAGACAGCGAGACTTGCGTGTCCAGCGATATTACAAGTCCACGTAGCATTTCTCAACTGGAATTTCCGACACCGGAACGACTACTACCAGTCGGTCCTCAAAGAGATTTCTCCAGCTTAGTTGAACGCGTATGTCAAGCTTTGGAAATCTCAGATATCGAAGGTTTATATCCACTGTGGATTTTTGTGCTTTTCCAATTTTTAACGATGACCTGAATAATACTTCTGAATCTTTCTCCTTAGATACAAATAAATTAAATGAAGATGCAAAGCGTAACACGATGATGCTTGTAAAACAGAATAACGGAACGTCCGAAAATATGGTAAGATTGATGTATCATTACACTTGGGTTATCATTACACTTCCAATAAGATGGAAGGTCACACTTGTAAGTTGCGAAACGCGAGGCAATATATAATTTTAAAATAGAGTTATAAGATACACACACAATAAATGTAAAAGCACCGAATCTATTTGTACACCTAATAGAGCTTACTTTAATTTCAATTATCTCAGCTTTGGTACTATTAGGTGGTAAACTTAGTTCCTGCGGCTCACAGTTAGATGACGTTAGTTGTAGGTGTAATTTATTTTGACATCTGAAACTGGCTGCATTTTAGAGGTTAGACATTTGTCAATAAAATTCAGTGCGAAGAGATTCATTTAAGCGAGCAGTGCTATTTTTTCTTTTGATTAAATATGGAACGCGATAAGTTGTTTCTTCGACATGTGCTGCTTCATTACTTTGACTTGAAAAAAAACTGCAGCTGCAGCTCATAAATTGCTTTTCGAAGCTTATGGCAATTATGCTCCATCGGAAAGAACATGCCAAGTATGGTTTCAGCGATTTAAGATTGGTGATTTTGATGTCAATGATAAAGAACGCTCAGGCCAACCGAAAAAGTTTGAAGACACCGATTTGCAGGCATTATTGGACGAAAAACTCTACTCAAACGCTCCAAGAATTGTCTGCAGCATTAAATGTTACTCCGATGGCTGTTTCCAAACGTCTACATGCAATGGGAAAAATTCAAAAGGAGGGAAAATGGGTACCACACGAATTAACCGCAAATGCCATTGCGAATCGCTTAAACATCTCTATTTCTCTGCTCGCCAGGCAGAAAAAGAAGAGTTTTTTGTGGCGCATAGTGACTGGCGATGAAAAATGGATATACTTCGATAATCCTAAACGAAGAAAATCATGGGTAGACCCTGGCCAACCATCGACATCCACACCAAAGAGAAATATTCATGGCCACAAAGCAATGCTTTGCATTTGGTGGGATATGCACGGCGTCGTTTATTATGAGCTATTGAGACCGAACGAAAGTATCACGGGGGATCGATATCAATCACAATTAAACCGTCTGAATGAAGCATTGTTGGAAAAAAGGCCAGCAGTAGCCAGCAATCGATGTAAAGTCATGCTTTTGCACGACAACGCTCGACCACACGTTGACAAAGCCGTCAAAGAAACACTGATGCAGCTCGAGTGTGAAATTCTCCCGCACCCAGGGTATTCACCAGACTTAGCTCCTTCGGACTATTACTTGTTCCGGTCGATGCAGCACGGCTTGGTGGATACACACTTCAGAAATTACGAGGATGTGCGAAAATGGATCGACGAATGGATTGCATCAAAAGACCAATCGTTCTATCGTCGCGGAATCTACGCGTTGCCCGAAAGATGGGAAAAATGTATAGCTAGCGAGGGAAAATATTTCGATTAATGTATTTTTTGCTTTTGATGTCGAAATAAATGAGTTTTTTAAACAAAAAAACCGCAGGAACTAAGTTTACCACCTAATAATATATGTATATGTAGATGATGTTTCCATTAATATGGTGTTGAAATTTGCAAAAATTAAATGATAAAATGAATTTACAAAACAACTATCTTAAGTAAAAATTAGCTATAATAGACTATAATGTAAGCTATAATATAACATTCTATTCAAGAAGAAGAAAGGGAGGATATTTACTCGATTCATTACGTTTTTATATCTATCCACAGTCAGCGTCGCTCGTACCGGCATTCAATGAAGCTAACTCGAGCAGATCACCAAGTCCGAGAAGATTGATTAAACAGGTGGCATTGGAATCGTCCCCACCAATGGTTGATTCAGAAGATTTTGTTTCCAAAATAACGGATTACGACCAGAAAGTTAAATCGAAAGAACAGTTTCGTATTCAACGTGATAAAACACGAAAGATGACTAGCACCGTCACAGATCAAGACGCGATCACTGACGCAAAGCGAACGGAGTCTTGGTAAATTTTCTCACCAACATCTTTTTTATCTCTTCGTAATAACTCATCCTTTTTATTCTTCTTTAAATAAATATTGCATCTTAATTTGTAAATTTTTTTTTTCGTCTGACAGGTCTGGACCACAGGTCCAACAAAACTTCGACTTCTTCTCTCAACAAGCATGCCACGCAGACTTCAATTTGAAGCAGAGTTTATTCCGCATCGGTGATGATTGTGTTTACGATAGATGCTCAGAATGTGGAACGATCAAAGAAGAGTATTCCGACGAGGAACTTGGACTGTGTATAATAACTCTAGGGACGTTTATCCATCGAGAACCATCTTTAGCAGCACCATTATTGCCAGAAATACTCAGCGTAGTAACTAAGTAAATATATATTGATATATTTTTAAACTGATATATTTGCATCTAGCAAAGACAGCATATAAATGTTATACAGGATATCTCGCGTAACGCATCCCGAAACCATATAAAATGGATACCATAGGTCGAGTAGAAAAACATGGTTGAAGTCATTTTTCGGACTAGTACGTAAAGTTTCGAGTTATTGTGAACCAGCGCGCGCGATAAACTGGGCCGTTGTACACGTCATTCAATTGTTCCCTAGATTTCTATTATATTTTTCTAGGAAATTACTGAACAAATCAATAATAAAGAAGAATTTATTCTTCTTCCGCTATTCTTTTTCCGTTATTATCACTATCATACAATCCACTTATAAGTGGATTGGTAATAGAATAATAAAAATCCACATTGTGTGTGAAAATCCATATAAGAATCCATATTTGCGAAAATATGTATAGGAATCCATACGGATTCCTATAGACTAATTGTCGTTGAATAATAACAAGATATCGATGTTTTGGTAGGATTGCGCTTAATGCTATGTATCCTTGGCAAAGTGAAACGAATATGCATCTACCAGGCGGTGCAGTCAGCGTAGCGCATCAATTTCTCAGATGCGTCCTTCATCAATTAGCACCTAATGGAGTATTTATGCAAATGTTTCAGACACATTTGAATGGTAAGGATATCATTACTTAATGTTGCTCAATAATGCTTCATAAGTTATTCTTTGAATTTTTCAATTTATAATCAACCGCGAGTTGCGAGTTCCTGTTAAATTTGAGCAAAATCAATAGCTATTCTAGTTCTTCGTTTCCTAACTTTTTAATTCACCGAAACATTCTCGATCGGAAAAATCCAAATTTCAATTTCAAACCTTCTGATATCATTTTTTTTTAATGTTTATGGGTCATGGAACCTTCATCCAGAACAGATCATATATGCGGTTTTTCCTATTGAAAATTTTTAGGTGGATTTCCAAATTCATACCCAGCAAACACCAAGTTACAGTTACATAATTGTTAATTATAATTTTCTACTCAACAATGTAACTGTATAGTTAGTATATAAATAAATAAATGTGTGTGTGTGACACGCGTTGTACAATAGTTACATTGTTGAGTAGGAAATTATAACTAGCAATTATGTAACTCAAACTTGGTGTTTGCTGGGTAGGAACTTATGTGAATCAATATAAGATAATAAAAATCCACATAGGATCCACATGGTGTGTGGAAATCTGTATAAGAATCCATATTGTTTACGAAAATTTATGTAAGAATCCATACGGATATATATAAATTAGAAATCTTTTCCTATATAAATTAGAAATTTTTTAAGTAAAAATAATCTTTCTCAATTTGCAGAAACGACAAGGTTGCAATTCTTCAAAAGTGTCGCCCAAGCTTTGGTTGATTTTAACGAATTAAATCCCATCGCACCTCTCCAACTATTACTTGAGGTAAAAAAAAAAATATTTTGGGCTGATTGCGAATTATGAATAAGTTTATATAATATATAAATAATATTATATTACGCACACGTATCCATCTATGGCTTATCAGCGTTTTTTCTCCTGCACTATAAACACAGAGACACTCCGTATATTCGCATGACAACATGCACTGTGTGAATGTCACACAGACAAACAAAGCATCTCTGTGTACGTGAAGGAAGAAAAATGCTGGCAGACTCGAATTCGTATCACTGGTTATGTGGAAGTACATGAAACGAGTGATTTTATCTTTACGGCTGAATGGTGGGTCTAACGAACGTAGTTGTGGACACACTTTCTCACAAGGCATATCGAAAAATGTCTCTCCCGAAAGAAGCTATCTCGACCGAGAGAGATTTCAGAGGTTTCTCTCTCTTAATATATATTGTTTCTCTATCTTCGATTAAAAAAACCATAATCTTTACGATTATGAACCATCAGAGAACAAGAGGAAATGTGTCGAAACGAAAGCCTAGGTAGCTTAATAAACAGTTGTCTAACAAGTGAAAGGTCCCGAGTTCGATTTCCAGCCCAGCAAGCTTGCGCTCCTGATATATTTTTCCCTGATTCCTACATATTGCACTTACATTGTTGAGTGGGAAATTATATAAGATTAACATAATGTTATTTTTACTCAATATTTACTGCGTAGTCATACAAATGTCGCTTTCAGACTTTGAATATGAAGAAGTCATTACCGCTAGAACGGCTGCCAACAATATTGTATAACATCGCATGTTACTTGGATTGTTTGCCTTTGGAAGCGGGATTGGGTCCTGGAGTTGCTACGTGGAGCGGTCTATTGACGCAATTCGATGGATTATTTCGAAGGCTGGTTCTTATGCTCCCTTCTATCGAAGATATCACCCCTCTCTTGAGAATTATGATTTCTATATTGAAAGTTCCAGGAATTCAACAATCTAAGGTGTGTATAGCTATACAATAGAACTATAGCTATAGAAGCTTGCAACTATATTACAGTAACATTGCAATATTACAAACCGGTAATATTTCAAAAAACACGAAATTAACAAAATATGACATTGTATTTGTATGTGTGGGGCATATATTGCACGTAAATTGACTTAAGGAGCTACATCTATTACGAGTACAACTTTATTCATTGTTTCCCAGAGTTTTTAATGTGAAGTTGCCTTTACCTATATTATATATTATAACCTGCATATTCACAATCAAAAGTTTAATTAAAAATTTTTGTTAATTAACAACTTTCGTGCGTTTCCTTATCAGTTTGTTCCTCTCCTCGATAATGTAAACTAAATGTCCATGAAATATTGGAAGCAAATCCAGAAAAAACGCGGGTCTAACTCGCGGAACCAAATTGAGCCAAATCATAATATTCTTTCAGGGAATGCTGGATCCACTCTCCAAAGTGATAAGTTATTCTATACAAAATTCAACATTGCAGTATCATTATTTAACGGACCTATGCTATTTGTGTCATAGAGGATTTACACGTGATCGTGATAAGCACTTTTTTGGCAGAACGATTGTGTTTGAATTAGTTCAAGCTATTAAATTCAAGACTACAATACCAGATTCAAATTTTCTATTGCTTCTTCAATTTGTACTCCAGGTATAATTAATAGAATAATGAATCACATATATTTAGAAGCTATATAGTATGATTCTTATTATATGCAGTACCTTAATATATTGATATCCCCCAGGATATCGGAGGATCTTTACCTAATACTATCACAATGGAAAATAATATTCAAACGGACATGTCGCCAATCTACAATACAAACGCTTCTGAATCTTTAAAAAGTCAATTGTCGGATGTCCTTGATTTCTTAGCTGACTTTCACACATTAAGCAAGATCAAGGTGATATATATTTTCTGTATATAAATTAATAAACAATAAATCGTGAAATAGAGTATAACAATCAATGAAATTATCTACTCACAAGGATATATTAAAAAAAATTTTTTTTAGAGTTATAGTAAAGGTATGCAAGCGGGACTCAACGAGGACACGTTAGGTGGAATGTTAAAGTGCGGCCTCGCTCAATATGTAGCCTTAGAGATTACAAGAGGCAATAATAGAGAGAACAAAGCAGTTGCACGTTATTTACCATGGTTGTATACCGCACCATCTACGATACAAGGGTAAACTTTTTCACTTTTATCATACTTTTTTGCGTGTGCATTTTAACCTACACTGTATCATTATTGTTAGTAAGATTAAATCTAACTAATGTATCAAAATTAATTATACATGTATCATTTTTCATAAACTCATGTTTTAGTGCTCGCGAATATGTTGATTGTATTGGTCACATCAGACTTTTATCTTGGCTTTTATTGGGATCGCTCACACACATAGCGATGTACACCGGTAACAATAACAGTCATTCTCACAGTTCAACGATTCCGTTGGCGCAACCGATACCTCAAGAAGTATCCTGCCACATCGCAGATCACATACAAATCATTTTCTCAGGATTTCCGGAACAATCAAAAACCTCAGTCCTTCACATGTCGTCGCTTTTTCACGCATTTATTCTTTGCCAGGTATTTACGCATTAAGTTGTAGAATTTCTATCAACTATACTAAAATTATATTAACAGAATGTTACATCTTGCTTCAGCTTTGGACAATGTACTTGGAGGAGATGTCGAGGAACAACGCGTCAAACAGCGAAAGTCATAATGTCACCATGAATATTTTATTAGAGTTTTGGGGCAAAATAACGCCGTGTATTTTGCAACTCGTTTCTTATTCGAAAGCCGTAAGAATCGATTATAGAAATGCCTCAATTGTCTTTTTCCATCATAATTACTATCATAAATTTAAAAAAGGAAAACTATTTAATGATATTCTATGTTTTTTTCAGCTATCTGAAATGCTTAACTTGCATTTCTTAAGCTTACTTGAAGCTCTATTGGAATGTGGATCTATTCTGCTAAGTAAATTGTTGCCTCTGTGGAATGCCATTTTATTTTCCCATCACGTTCAGGTAAGAGAGAACAAAATAACAAAAATAAATTATTAGAATTGAAAAATAAACCGCATCGGCGAATTTATTTTATTTCTTTGCAGTTACCAGGGCACTTGCAAGTTCGTTTACAAAACTGTCGTGATTTCCCACCAAGCAGAATGGCAGAACAATTTGTTTCTAATCGAAGAGAATCAAATGCAATACTCCTGAGATGGTTACATCGATTACAATTTAAAATGGGTCAAATAGAAATGCAATCTTCTACCGCTACACAGTTTTATTCTATTTAGAGAATAATAAAGACGAAAAAAAGGATCAGCTGTAAAAGGAACAGCTTTGCGAATTAGACAAATTTGTATTGGTCTTAACACTTTCACTGCGAGAGAGGTAGGTTCCAACCGTGCTTAACTACCAACCCTGTTTAAAACACGTTCAGTGCGGGAACGTATATATACGTATATCTATGCGGGCGCCAGTGACTGCATCTCAAGCCAACTACTATCCCCACTGTAAAAATTTAAAACTGAATAAGGGTCTGCGTATATATACGTCCGCAGTCACTGGCGCCCGCATAGATATACGTATATATACGTTCCCGCACTGAACGTGTTAAAGACGGCAATAATAAATGAGAAATATGGTGATTTATTTAAAAAGAAATGGAGGAAGGAAGGAAGAAAAGAAGGGGATAGAGAGAAAAAGAAAATGATTCAAACTGTGTAATTAATGTCAACATTATAGTTAATAATGTTAACATTATAATTAATGTATCAGTTAAATATATGCAAATGATGTATGTCATTTTTTCTCATATTGATCAATATATTAGTAGGAAGTTCTTAACTTTAAGTTTTGCATCGATGTAAGCAATATTTTAAATCAAAATATTTTTTCGCTTTTTTGCGATTTTGAAGCGTTGACATTAATGATTATAAAACCGCCACATAAGTGACATGTGACATACCTCAAAAGTCAGTATTGTTCATGATAGTCATAACTAATAAAGAATATGTTCGATATTTCATCCACCTAGCATCTCAAGAAAAACGCTGCTGAAGCCAAGCTGAAATGATTTATGCCGCATATGGTAATAATGTTTAAGTCGCGCAATATATAAAAATTAGTATAAAAAATTTTGTGACGGAGATTTTTAAAAATTGATAATATTAGGTATTGAGAATTTATTCCGTTAAAAAAATATAAGTAGAAATATATTGCAAATCTAACGTAATAAGCACGTTTACGTAGAGAAATAAAACTTATTGAAAAATAATTTATATTTATATTATTAACAAATTTATTATACAAAATATAAATGGGAGGCCATACTATTACCTTCTCCTCTACATTTTTTATTTACTCTACATTTTATAATTTCAAACATAAAGAAGAGATTTAAATCATGAACTCTCTTAAATTAATTATAAATGCAGAAGTTGGGGAATAATGGAGAAAAAATAAGTGTTTTGAGTCCACATTAATGGTGTCCATATATTTTTGCAATATTTCGAATATTATGTGCAAGATTGTTATTTGATTATTGTAAAAAGTTTCGATTAAGTTAACATTTCAAACTTCACGCAGTTCCAATATTTACATTGTTGTCGTTGTCATTGTAGTTGGACCTTTCGGTTTAATCATCATTAATGCACGTTTTAAGGTATAATCCCAGCCTCTCCATCGGAACCATACGATACCTTTAACAATAATATAATTCTATTACTCATTAATACAATTTGAAAACTTAATTCTCAAGTATATAAAGCAAAAATACCAATGCTTGAACATGTACCTAAGTCTGGACACATTTTTGTTGTTCTGGTCTTTAAATAAGAACTTTCAACATAAAAAAAAATATATATATAAGAATTTTCAACATAAAAAAATATATATTTTTTTTTATGTTGAAACTTCTTATTTAAAGTGTATATATATATATATATATGTTTATTTATTTATTTATTTATTATTTATTTATTTATTTATTTATTTATATATATATATATATATTATATTCAATATGTATGTATATATATATTTTTTTTACATATACATTATATATATATACATATTCAATATGTATGTATATATATATTTTTTTTTACATATACATTATATATATATACATATATATATACATACATATTGAATATATACAAATATTTTAAGTTTAATGATTAAATATTTGTATTTAAAGAGCTAAACAACAAAAATATCCACAGTTAGTACGTGTCCAGGCATAGATACTTTTATTTTAATTTTTTCGTTGATTTGTGCGAGAAAAACATAAGAATCAAGTTTTATCAAGATCTATAATCTTCATTTATTTCTTATCTTAATCTTTTATCATATTTTTGTCAATTTCGAACGATAAATTTCTTCGATAATGTTTACTTTATATAATGATAAAAATACCTTGTCGTGCGGTAAGATCTTGTGGATCGTTCAAATAAAGTCCATTCAAACCACGTCCGCAAGACTTCCACCACCAGCCACCTTTGAGCATCGAAGCGCAGTTCAACGATGATCTATCGTTATCTCTAAAAAATATAAATATTTCGCATAATTCTGTACTTGATGGAAAGTATATACATACTTGCAGCATAAATACTTTTATCGCGTTATTATCACAATGCAAGAATATATATGTTATTATTGTTATTATAGATTATATGCACACAAATAATTTTACCTATTGTACGTGGAGAACGGACTGTTGTTTGATCCGTACCAAGGATCGTTTAATGAATCTCCAGCATTTCCTTCGTAACCATCTATTTCCAATTTGTAATACTCTCCTTCTGAATAAATCTTGAAGTGCGAATATTGGGCATACCTAGAAAGATAAACTGTTATAGTTATAATATATTGGGTACTCTAAATTAATTTTAAACTTATATTCACGCAGCTTACCGTCAATTTGAAAAGTGCAAGATTAAGGGGACATTAGACCTTTGAAATGACCAAAAAATCAATTTTTGGATTTTAACGATTTCTTATAGGACAGTCTTTTAGCAGTGTTTTGCCGTTTGTTGAACTTAAAAATATTGAAAATTATGATATTGGCAGCTGAAAAATGAAAGAGACGTGTGCTCAAAATTTTCGATATATCTCGTAAAACAAAAATTTCACTATACCAGCATTCTATATTACAAATATGTCGAACTTCTTGAGAAATGTTTAGGAAATTTTACACAGAATGCGAACGAAGATTTCCACTCATTAGTATGGAAGATTGCTTCTAAGCATAATTTCTCCGGGCTAGAAATTGTGCAAATAACTGTATATTTAAGGCTCCGGAGTATCCGCGGCCATATTGGTGATAGGCGAGAAATGACATATTGAGAAACATTGCATGCCATTTGCAAATAAAGAGATGGTTTGATAAAACAATACTTGAGATCGCTTGAAGACACTTGTGAAGATGGACAAAAATTCTCCTTTTCCTTTTGTAAGAAAACACGATCTCATGGTTATTAAAAGGAATGGAAAATATGATCCTACGTATAAAATTCCAGAATTAATCTTAGTTTTCGTCCATTTTTACATATGTCATACCTGCACAAATAAATAATATGGAAATGGCACATAACACAAAATTTCGTTGTCAACACGCCACTCTTCATGCATATCTGTAAGTGCGGTCAAGCAAGCGCTACAAATGTTTTGAAGCATTTTTCCTTTTTTTCTTCCTTTATTCGGGCCCAGAAATAAATGAGAAGAAAAAATGCTTCGAAGCATTTGTAACACTTGATGGATGCACTCTATTTGTTCATTCTTTTGTTGTTCTGAACTTTGTGATTCGCTATTGTCAACACAGAGTTCTTGGCTGATTGTTACGAAGCCTTAAGTGCAACGATGTTTAATGACGAATGTAAAAGATATTTAAACGTATTAAATAATTTAAATACCGATTTTCGGGTGAAAAAGTTGTTAATATGTGCGAAGAATTAAACCAGGCGCGCTGCACGCAAAGCAAGAGCTTTTTTTGTGGAAGAAGATCGATTTCTCTGTTATCAATAGATAACAATGGATAACGAGAATCTGATATTGCAAAACGTTTTGGATACTACATTTTATAATTTTGGGCAATTTAGAATCAGGTCATACATTTTATTACGTTGAAAATCGGTTGTGAAACTTTGAACGTATTTTCTCGAAACTATGTTTTTCATCAATTTCATTATAATTTCTCAAGAACAAAAAGAAAAAAAGAGATATCGAAACAATTTTTTTTAATGTTTCCAATTAAATTCTCTACAAACCAAACCTAAAGCAGTACTCTACAAAAATGGCATTTATTTTATTTATTAAAAAATAAAACAAAAAGACAACAGATTTCGAAGCAATATGGTTTTTGAAGTGTCAATCTTTCAATAAATGTTATTTCTTCTGTTTCGGAGGTTTAATCGATAACGAATTTATTCAAAAGGAGAATACCGCTTGCAGCTTTTCAAAATTTTACGATAGGATTGCAAAATTGGAGTGGAAAAACTAGAGAAAGAACTCATTCTTCATTGCTGCATATTTTATAAAAAACAAGCTTTTTTGCAACTTTTAATATCTCATTCGTTTCTCAAAGCCATATATAAACTATTATTAAAACGTCAATTTATTTATATTTATTGAGTAATTTGTACGTAGGTAGCTATTTTTATTTCTGGCCTTGGTAGCAGTAAATGTTGCTAGGCGCCATCTGACGTTGTCATTGGAAACTTGACATTGTTGAACATAAGAACACATTGTCATTTGAGCGCGGTTTGTGTTGTTTACAGTGAATTGAAAAATTCATGGACAAAAAATGGAATTAACTCGTAAACATTTTCGTGCGATTATTTTTCATAACTTTCGACGTGGATTATCAAGACAAGAGTGCATCGGTGAACTTAATTCTTTATACAATGAGAAAGGAGTACATCCTACAGCACTGTAAAAAACTGGTATAACGAATTCAATCGTGGCCGACGTTCGCTCCAGGACGTGAAGGTCGTCCAAAATCGGTTGTTGTGCCAGAAAATATCGATGCTGTGCGTGAACTGATAAAGCAAGATCGTCATGTGACATACCGTGAGATTGAGGCATCTTTGGGCATTAGTATGACAAGCATTAATAAGATATTGCATGAACATTTGTCCGTAAAAAAAGATTTGTTCGCGTTGGATCCCGCATAATCTGACAAACGCTCAAAAGAAGACTCGTGTTGATTGGTGCAAGGAAATGTTGAAAAAATACGTTCAATCAAAGGCTGTGTATAACATCTATACAGGTGACGAATCATGGATCTATGCATATGGGCCCGAAACAAAACAGCAATCGACTGTATGGGTCTTCTAAGACGAGTCAAATCCAACAAAAGTTGTTTGCGGAAGAAGCACGTCGAAGCAAATGGTTTCTTCGGCATTACCGGTCACGTGGCGACAGTGGCGTTAGAGCACCGTAGGACGGTTAATTTGGAATGATACACAACCATTTGTTTGCCAGAAGTCATCGGAGAAATTCGAGAAAAGCAGAAGAAGAAGGCGAATCATTCTTCATCGCGGCTCTCACACATCGGGTCAAACAAAGGAATTTTTGACCGGCCAAAACATCGAATTGATGGGTCATCCGCCGTACAGCCCTGATTTGGCACCCAATGACTTTTTTCCCGCACATCAAAAATAAATTACGTGGTCAACGATTTTCGACACCCGAAGAAGCGGTTGATGCATTCAAAACGCATGTTTTGCAGTTACCTCAATCGGAGTGGGAAAAGTGCTTCGAAAATTGGTTCAAACAAAAGTGTATTGATCATCATGGAGAATATTTTGAAAAACAATAAAACCAATTTCGATCATAAATATTTGTTTTTTCATTATTAGGCCAGAAATATAAGTAGCAACCCTCGTAACAAGTGACTTCGACCTCATCGATGTTTTCGCGTGTTTAAAGGTCCAATGTCCCCTTAAACGCACTTGCTACATAATACTCTTTATAATAATAGTTAGAACAATATAAAACAGCGAGTATCGCGATAATCGATCTATATTTTATATATATACCTTTTGTTACCTTCGAAGTCTTCAAGTTCAACTCTGAGCATGTAATCTTCATTATTTGTCAACATATATATGTTTTCATTGCCTAACCAAAATTCTTTAGCAGGATCTCCGAATCCATTTTTATAATCCGCCCAGTCTCTATTAAAATTCTCTCTTGGCTCTCCAAAATCATCTCTTCTTTGAATAATCTGTAAATAGAAATTAATTTTAAATAAATAACATATGAGGCATGTTTGTATGAATCGACGAACACTGCCGTATTTTCATTGATTTCAATATCTCATGATTTCTCAAGAAATCGTAGGAGTAGTATCAATATCTCATGATTTCTCAAAAATTCATAGAGATAGTATGCCATTCGATGATAATAAACTCACCGTCCAACCACCATCAGCGATTTCCTGTTCGCAAAAAACTTTAAGAAACCAATATGTCGTGCCGCGTATTTGAAGATAGTAGACTCCGTTATCTCTCATTCCAGCATTTAATAAATCCACGCAAGAATAACCCTAAATGAACGATATTATACTTTATACAGAAAGTAACGGTAAAAGATGGAGACACACAAATATTATCAAAATATTTTTTTCTTGTTCAAATAAACTCGCGAAATAATGGAAATGAAAAAAATCTGTTGAAATGTTTTAAATGATTGAAGACGATACACGAAGAAATCATACGAATAATCTAAATACCTTGACATCTTTGTAATTAATCAATATATCGCTGGTAAAACTGGAATTCGCTAGACTCGGTTTGTTTTTCACGCTTGGAAAGATGACTCCGCGATTTCTACTATTTGATCTGAGCGTGTTTGATGATGTTGCTGTCATGGGAGTCGTGGAACTGGTAGGATTGTTCGAAGGCGAAGCAACTGACGATATCGACGTCGTTGTTGACAAAGGCGGTGTAGCAGTCGGCAGCATAGACGTTGTAGGTATCTCCGTTGCAAAATCCTCAGTTACACTGATATATCTTAAAACAAATAACATTACGATTTTTCCGATCGCATTAAACTGGATATTATGTTTCGCGATTTGATAAGATTTTAAAAGGCTATCCACTTCCAATTTTGATGAAATTTTATAGATACGTAGTACTAACTAAATATAGTCGAAGTCATAAGTGTCAAATAATTAAAATTTAAATTTCTCAGAGACTAGACATTTCCGTACTAGTAGTTTCGACTACATCTAGTAAATACTACATATCTGTAAAATTTCATCAAAATCGGAAGTAAATAGCCTTTTAAAGTTAAGCCGGTAAATTTTAAAGAAAATATCAAAACATCAAATGCAAACCGTTATATATTTTAGCTGATTCTAAGTCACTTATAGCTTAATCACTTGAGACATGCTTGCGCATTACTTAGTTGAATGATTAAAATTTAGATTTCAACCTGTTTGGGTCATATTCGACAAGTCGATCAATCGTTGGATCCAGTAATAATTCGGCTGGTATTGGGCGTTGCGAGAGAGTGGCCACATCATCTTCTTGCTTTCTTAAGCGGCTTTCAACGCCTTCTAAATTTTCAATAATCTTATTTGTTTTTGATCGTAAATCTGCGTGAATCTCGCTGATCGCTCTTTCCTGTCTCTGTGTTTGAGTAAGCAACTCGTCGGACTTTGGCAATAGGTCGTCCACTGAATTTTTCGTGCCCATCTAATATTGTGAAATCATGTGTAAAAATTCTTATAAATATAAATTATTGTGAATAAACTAGCTACATTAATCGATATTACGCTTGTTTGATTAGAGACTTACCACTACGTTCCAGACTTCATCCATTTTTTCCGAAACAGTGAGCATCGGATACATTTGTTCGACGAGGCGATCGATTTTACTTTGCTTTATCGGAGCTTCGGTCGTCGTTAAGTTAAGAATTTGCCGATCGTTTCCGGAATGTTTGTCAACGATAGCTTCGTGCACATCGGAAACCATGTTGTATACTGCCCCGAGATTGTCGGATACCAAATTCATGTGGAACTGGAGTTTCCGATCCATACTACCTGTCGCTTGCCTGAGATTCTCGATTTCGATCGTCATATGGTTCATTACTTCGTTACTCATAGCTTTAGTAATCTCAATTACACTCATACTAACAGGCTTCTTCTCGCTTGCCTCGGCATTTATATCGTCATTTTGTAAGAAATTGTTATCGAGTTGATTCTTAAGATTAACTAGCTTATGGTCGATATCGGAAACTTTCTGGTCCAGAGACACCAATTTCTCGCCTAACGTTTCCGGAGCGCGTTCGCTGCGATCATGATGGATCACACGTATTGTCGGAGCTGCAACGTAGAGTAAATAGTACGATTTCGAGAATAAAACGCATGAAGGAATGTAAATTCATGATTATAAAATAAACAAGATTTTTGCGCTCTTGTATGCTCGGTGTGTTATAAGTAGATCGATATAGTGATTTCTATAAGTCGCGCATCGAAAAAAGAATGATTAGACAAGAAAGTAGCTTCGTAAAGGTATAAAAAGCTTTATATGTATCGTACACTTACTACTTTCGGTATAACTTCCGCTCTTATTTTCAGTAACGCTCGCCGTATGAATGGCTTCCGATGACATAATCGGATATGCATTGAAGAGTTTCAGATCTAACGTTCTCAGTTTCGTAATAACCGCATCTGTCTTGTCGATGTTATCATTTACACGTGAATCTAGAGCTTCCACTCTTCTCATCAGATGCTCTACCGCCTTGTCTAAATTCTCAATTCGCTGTAGCTTGGATTCCAAAGTTGATACTATTACTTCGAAGACATTGAAGAGATATTGTTCTCTACAACAATAAAAGATATTCATCGTAAACTTCGAATGTTTTAATGTTCCGTCAGTATCGTTAATTAAACAAATTTATACAATAATAAAAACAATCGGTTACGCCTCTTTACGTTTCTCCAACTTTTGTAATTGTATAAAGTCATCCGTTTATCACTGGAGAATTAGCCTATTTAATATCAAATTATATTGGAAAAAGCTCACAATGATAATTAATAATTTTCCAAGTCCAGCTAACGTGCATAGCTCAATCATCGCTGTTAAATATGCATATCATATTTAATATTATATTAACATAATGATAATATCATGTGACGTTCGCAAACTAAGTGGAAAGTAAGCGGTGTATTGGCAATCTTTGGGAGTATAATCGATTCGTTTACGTAACGTCGAGCAGCATTTAACATACAACTGGCCTCTCGTCATCTAGAGAAATCTGTTATTACGGTTCATCTTGTATTTCTATTTTTTGAGAATAGAAAAGAATAAGGAAGGGATTGGAAAAGCGATATTTACCTGTTTCGTTGCAAATTACGAGAAGATGACGATAGCGTAGCGCTGGTAACATTCTGGTTCGCACGCGTGCCACGCTGGTCGGCGGATGTTCGTGGTAATCTCGGACTTCCCGCTAAGACAAAGCCCAAAAAGCACACGATAATGAGCACCGTTTGTCTCATAATTACGAAGTGTCCTGTCGAATTCGATGAAAGCAACGTCGATCGAGCAACTATATCCAACGACGTGAACGGTGCATAATTATGTGAATACTAGATAATACGGATAATACCGATTTGCAATCAAACGAATCTATCGCAAAAATAAATATTTGAGATGCACTTTCCGCTTTTCTCCCTTCCTTTTTGTCTGTCCTCGTTGCACGCGTGTATATACATTTAATTTTGTCGTAATTTCCGTGTACTTATTCACTCAGTCCCGTCATGAACACATTTCAATTTCTCACATAATGTTACCGACGCGTCCGATAAAATAGCAATTCAAATTCGCTTATATCGTGAATTTTATTAAATTTACTTGCGCATAATAACTTCACAAGCGAAAAGTTCAATTAATCGCATCTAAAATTCTTCACAAGCCAAACGTATACAATTTGTCACATACATCGAAGAAATGTGATATTACATCAAGAATGCATTAACAAATAGCCACGCAAGTCGGAACGATCTTTGCACCTTGAAAATAAACGAGAATACACACACACAAACACGTAATTTACGTTATATATTAAGCATACAGACAACTTTCTACGCACATCAATCACACTTGTCCGAAGGAGTTTGAAGCGGAAGATAATATCGTTACTGGCGCGTACTTCTACTCTTTTTCTTTCTTCCCTTATCTTTTTTCTTTAAGCAGAATATCGAGAGAACGATTATCAAACACAATTCATCGTTTGTAGATAAGCGTTCAATTCTTGATCTTTATTACATTCGTGATGCTGATTTTTCTCACTATTTGATTCCCAGCGCTAATCGATTAATCGATTTATATAATTTCAAATATCTCGCTGTTATCTGCCTTTTCCTCGTTTATTTTCTCTCGGCTTTCCTTTCCTTCTTCTTACAGATTCGTCGTTACGTTCACTTTTTCTTTCTTTTTTTATCCACTTTTTCTTTTTTTTAAGCAGAATATAATCGAGGAAACGATTATCTAATACGATAAATCGTTTGTAAAAGAGCGTTCAATTGAGCTCTATTACGCTCAGAACACTAAATTTTCTCACTATTTGATTGAAGCACTGATTATCCACATATAATTTCAAATATCTCGCACTCGTATTCTGCTTTTTCTTCGTTTATTTTTTTTCGACTTTCCTTCCGTTTTTCTTACAAATTCGTCGTTACATCCTTCCTCTCCTTCCTGTCGATTAAATCCCTCGATGATGCGACAAGTTGTCCCGTGATTCAAATCGGTATCCAAAATCAATTAGAATTTGTCAGACAAGTCCTGTTGTCCAAATCGATATCCAAGATCAGTTACAGATGAGATGTTGATGAGAAAAGAAAAGGAAGTAATTTTTCGTGGATATCATACGTGCCGTGGGTGAATGAACTCGCGACGAAGTAGACTATAGCGGATGCGTGAAAAGTAATGAGTTTCGATGTTCGTATTTTTTACAGCGTGTCTACAGCGGCTATAAAACGGATACCACTAGGTCGGAGCGCGAATACAGGTATGTTACATCCCACGGAACGGGCGAAACACGCTGTGGCATGGCACGTCGATTGGTTGTTTGGCTGGTTAGTTGGATGGCCGGTCGATTGGACGGTCGGTCGGTCGGTCGATCCGTCGGTCGGTCGGTCGGTCGGTCGCGGATAACCGAGAGCACGCAGTTTCAGTCAACTGTAAGAGACTTACTTTCACATTTAAGTGCCCGCGCGCCGAACGCGAGCTCAAGACAGTCGCTCGCGACAACCGCTCGGAACCTTCCTCCCCCCTCGCTCTTTCCCCTCCCGCTCTTTCTGTCAGTTCCATTCCTTTTTAACTCGGCCTACAGTCTTCTCCTGGTCCCATTCCCGTCCAAGTCCAGTCTCGCTTGGCCTGTACAGGTGGCGGTGAAGGCGGTGAAAGGGTAGGGTGGCCGGCCAGGAATCGGGGAACCTTTCCCGCAACTGCCGCATAGACCGTGCGCAACGAGTTGCGACGGAAACCTTTGCAGAAACGAAACCGAGAGTGTTACTGTCTTTCCCCTCCTGTCCCGAATGAAAGGAGACTGCCGCGAACAGTCCGCCGTCCAATTATGAATTTTCATTCAGGAAATATGCCCGTTCGTTCGCATCGAAATTTCATTCCCGTCGCGATTGATTGATTACGACGAAAGGAAAAAAGAAAACATTTATGTTCTGTCTGATAAGGTGACAATTTTCTTCTTTACGTTCGCTTCAAAATTTTTTGAAAGTTCGCCTCTGAATGATCAAAGGCGTGATAAAGCTACGAATAGCTTGATTTATTTAATAATACTCTATAGTCAATGATAATATGCAATTTTCTTCACTAAATATTGTGCCCGACAAAGAGTAAATTGTCTCTCGTTAAACTCATCGTTTAACGAAGAACATTGGTTTAGTGTCGGGTGGCCCGAATAACTTCATCGACTTTGTTTCGAGTTTATCCGTTAATTTCTTACCAGAGTTTGCTAATAAACGTTTTAACATATTGTCATTCACATGATAGAAATAATTGGCGTACGGTCTATATTTACAATGAGGCCATTGGTATGTATATGTGAAGAGAGAAACACGACGATGACTAGCCGTGAGAGCGTTTCGACGAAAAATTGCATAAGACGAAGATTTTTCCGTAGCAGCTAATAAATAACGGCCGCCTCATGGAATGCCGTGATCAACAATGCGTATCGAATGTATCAGAATTCCAAAGATCGTGCTACGAAGATAAAGGTAACGAGAGAAAGCAAAGAAAACGAAGGGACAGCGCTAAAGTTCGAGTCGATTGAAGGGGCACACGTTATATCGGTGAGAGCAAATGAAAAGGAAAAAATAGAGAAGTTCTCGAATTAACGTAAATAACGTTATATCAGACAGAACATCATTGACCTAATGCAATCGAACCGATCGAATGTTACGCCATTTATTTGTGTTCGAGCGGATTATTAAAGGAGAATGAGCAACATTGAAAGCTGCAGGCGAAGTCTGTTCATTTATAGCGAGGATATTGGAGTAAGGCCAAATCACGAACCGCAACAGCAGTCGGGGAATGGTTGTATCGCCTTGAAATATCCGTGCTCGCTATATTACAGTCTCCGCAATTATGTACTCTCGATTGTTGAGCAATCAAAATTGGGAAGAAAATAAGAGCCCTCGAAAATCTGCTTGTAAGATAACCCAAAGGATATATCGCGTCTCGATGATGTCGATCGCTTGTATCGCTCAGTCTCATTAAATGAGTCAAATCGATGTGAATGGCCCTAAGAAACGTCAAGTTCTATTTAGATTTTCCTTTTTCTTATTTTTGCACAATGCAACAATGGCTTTCAAGTCTTTTCGTAATATTTAGTTTTGATCTCATCGAATTCCATCATCTAAATAGTGGCTACATCACACTTTCGAAAACGAAAGTGCAACGTATGAAAGTCACGATTACGTAAGTACAAGCTAGTACAAGTTGGTAGATTCGTAAATTATATAGGGTCCACGCATGGCGAGCGCTTCAGCTAACGGAGACGTAAAAGATTATTACCGAGTATGGAATCAATTATGAGATAAATATACTGACTGTTCAACGTTTGTCCTTCAAATCGATTTCCTGCTATACGATAGATTTTTCTCCTCACTAACGCATTTTATCGCTGCGATATAATTAGAGATATAAGAAGAAGTGAAAGATAAAACTATGTAAGAGGTCGATACTTCATGATTTATCGAGAAAATTTCTCGAGAAAATATATTTTTAATCAATCCTGAATTTACATACTTATGTTTCTTGTCACGAGTCTTCAAGAATGTTCCGAACAAGGTCAGAAGAATTTAAAACGCGTAATCAGTCAATCAGAAAACCCTCGCGCGATTTGCCGTTCTCTACGTGTTATATTGTCTTAGACAGTGGCTATCATAGAAAATACCGTTTTTCGAAACAGGCAAAGGCATTTTAATTGGAGAAATGGTGTATCAGTATCACGCCACGCCTCTCTTTTTCTTCCTTTCTCTGTTACGCATTTAATGTAAAAAAGCGAATATAAGCGACATGCTGTATTTGCAAGCCTTTCGTTCCAGATGTAACACCAGAAGGTGAGCAATCTCTTTGACAAGAGTGCGCGAGTAAAATAATGCTAACATATATGTAATAATGTGATTATTTGTTCAATTCTTCGAGAAGAACATCATTTAAAGGAATATCCAATGAATCGACGATGTCCCATTGCGGGAGACAGACGCGCTTTAATAAAAGTTATCAAAATCTATATGCATTTTCTCAACTTAAAGTTACAGATTAGAACAGTAATCCTCCGTTTAATTTCAAATAAATATTAATTTCAGACTAGTTGAGAACCGATCTTCAGTTTTGATAATACAGTCGCCAATTGAATTGGAGCGAAAATGATCGTAAGTCAGTCATAATGAGATTCTTTGATCTTTGTATCATTACACAACAATGACTCACAATATGACGTATGAGATAGTCAAGTAATAAAAGCGACGCTTCTGTGCGATGTGAGCAGTAATCATCGTGCACCAGTGAGAGTTCTCATGAACGGAATTTTATCTTTCCCGCCACACGCGTTAACGATATACAATATATAGAGTGATTTAAACATTATTAATTTAACGAAAATAACATTACAACGTTAAAAATATTAACGAATAGGCGTAAAAAAATGGCAGAGGAAAAGATTGTCTTGGACGAACAGTTGCTCGATTATCTACGAACATACGTAAGAGATTTAAATCTGAAGGATCCTGAATTTTATATAACCAAGGCTTGCAACAAGGGTGACAATTTCGTTGGACTTGTTTATCGCGTAAAAATCGAAGGTATTGAAAATGGCAAGGCCAAGAGTGTTCATGTTATTTTAAAAACACCAAGGCTCGATACGTCGACAGATGTTACGCAATCTATCAATCTGTACGAACGAGAAATATTCTTCTATCAAGAGATATTGCCTATTTTTAAGGAAACTTTAAAGAAACACGGTGGAATCGCCGACTTATTTCCCACGTTTTATGGCGCTAATAACGAGCCCGGAAAAGAGGTAAATAACAAAGGAATGTGAGAAGATATTTTCCAGGCGAAGTTAAAAGCTTGAGGAAATATGGAAAAATTATCGTTAACGTAAAATATGAATTATTTGTCACAACTGGTAATCAGCCGATTTTTGAGCCGATAATCGTTTTTGGACTGCAGTTCTTTTTGTACTTGTTTACCACACATTACATAATGTTGCTGTAAATCGTTTCTATAAAATCTATAAGTTAAACAAGATATGATACATAGATATTTTTATTTCGAAAAGACGTATCTATTTCTATAATTATTTAAATTAATTAATTTCGGTATTGTCTGTATTTATTCGCACAGCGGATACGGACAGAGTGAAAAATTCGGCAATTAAATTGCTCGTGAAAATACATTTCAATGAATTAATATTAATTGAAAAACTTGACTTATTACGATATATGATATAAGATATGTCTGATATTTTAACTCATAAAAGGATTTTATATGCGTATCGATATATAATTTTCTAAAATACACTGAATAAGTCGAATTTATGAGACTTTATCTTGTCAGATAAGAAAGTGGCATGTCTCTTTTGAATTTAAGCGTCATTACGCGGCAGAATTTCATTGCGTTGGACAATCATTAAACAATCATTAAAATCATAATGTAAACAATATAATCACTCGTAAATTTCAACAACTCACGGTGACTCAACGCAGTTACTTTTTTGGATTCATGTTTTACTGTAAATACCGACAACAAATAACGATAAAAATCAATATAATCAGGAAGCATGGAAAACTATAATGATGATTAATTTTTGCAGATTTTGATACTAGAAAATCTAATGGTCAAAGGATTCACGATGAAGAGTTTGAGAATCATGGATTATCCACATGTCTCTTTGGCACTTCGATGCTTAGGTGAATTTCACGCATACAGCTTTATCACACGCGCCGCCGATCCGATAAGCTTCAACAAATTGAAAGAAATGAAGGAACCATTATTCTCTCGAATATTAAATTACGAAAGAGATGAGTATATTATTAACGTTTGCAACATCATTGGGAAGGTACATTCTGCTTCGTTAATCGTTAAATCTTATCCGTGTATTCTTCGAGATTCAATATTTGTAATTTTCTCTTTCAATTTACTATATATAGGCTTTAATAGATGAAAAGAAATATTATTTGGAGAGATATCAACAATTCACAGATAATATTAGACGAAACATGAATGACGTAATCGATGGAAACGCTGCCGAGCCTTATGCCGTTGTAAACCATGGTGACGCTTGGACTAACAATATACTTTATAAATATGATCAGGTATGTGGAATACGTAAAATCTATTTAAGCACTAGCTACTAACGTCACACATGTATAACGCACCGATCTCTCACGAGAAACCAATATTACATATGTGACAACAAAAGTTTACTTTCTATATGCACAAAAAATTTATACTATTACGTTTTATACTATTACATAAAAATACAGAGTAGCTATATTAGCAATTTCTTAACCACGCCCATGGACTATGGTAGCGAATATGTTAAAAGCATTTCCTAATCAAATACTAAATTATTCACTTAAGTTGCTCCTTCAAACTAATTTTTCTTTACGTGTTTTAAACATAAATGGTTGTAGGGAATTACATTTCAAGTGAAATTTCTCAATGGAAACGTTTCATATAGAAGTTAAAAATCATCTTGATAACTCTTTAAAAAACTTAAAAACTTTTACAACAGATAGCAGTTCTTTTCATCGCATTTTAATTCCCCTATGGTAGTTGGCCCGTGACCAAACCATTAGAAAAATAATTAATATAACACGAAGAAATTCGACAAATCTATACTAAATGTTTATAAATACGATTTATAATATATAACTTTGGCACTATAATAAAAGAATCAATTGAACTTGCATAATGTTTAAAAAATCATAAAAAGTAATATAATTTTTCGCAATTCGAAGTATAATATTTTTAACTGGAACTGCCTTCATGTTAGGTATATGTTTATAAATATATCATATGTACTGATAGACGTACATTAGTGATGTGATATTAACCTAGATTTTCGCACATGCGCAATAAAGTGGTGGGAAAGTTAATAACGTACGGTGAATGTATGAGCGTTAGTTTTAGTGGAATCAGAATGATAGACAGGAAATAAAGTTAAGGTAAGTATGTAAGTACATTAAAATTATATATGTTAGTATATTGACACACTTATATTAAAATTATGCATACTTAGGATAGAAAAGAAGTGGTAAAGAATCAAAAAGTTAAAAAACCTAATAACAGTACCCCATTTTACTTGTCAAGGGTCAACTAATTTTCCGATTAGGTTTCATTGGTAACTGCATTTCATCGGATAAAAACATTTATCATTTGATTGGACAATAAAGATATAATGATAATATGTCGCCAAAAGCATCGCGTCTTTTTATATCATTATTTAATCGATTGACGTCATAGAAGGAGAAATGGCCTTAAAATGAAGCCACAATGAAGTTATCTTGCTGCTTGGAAAGCCGTTTCGTATCTGCAATATATATATAAAAAGTGCTAACTTTGATTCTAATAATTTTATCTTCGGTGTGGTCAATTTTCTTCTAATTATATACGAGGGCGGTCCGATAAGTACTTAGCCTACAAAAGAAAAACGAAAATTTTGGAAAAGTGGCGATTTATTTCTCAACATAGTCTCCTTTTAGCTCGATACACTTGACCCAACGATGCTCCAACTTCTTTAACCCATCTAAAAAATACGTTTTCTCGAAGTCTGCAAAGGCCTTCGTGGCGGCGATGACCTCCTCATAATTAATATTAAAATTTTCGTTTTCCTTTTGTAGGCTAAGTACTTATCGGACTGCCCTCGTATATGTAGATCGTGTTTCCATTAATATGTTGTTAAAATTTGAAAAAATTTGTATTCAAAAATTAGTTTACGGACCAACTACCTTAAAATAAAACAACTTTTTCTTCTTAACGATTCCCACCTAAAGCGAAAAGAAGGAAACGCGGATAATTGACTCAAGATGTAAATAAATGCAATTTAATTAATAAATAATTCTTAACTCTACATCACTATAGCATTATCTAATATAATTTTAATCGTATATTGTTTTAGAAATCGCAGGAGCGTTCCCAGGAGAAAAAACCGTGTGATTTACGCTTCTTAGATTTTCAAATATGTCGTTACGCGTCACCCGTGTTAGATATAGTTTATTTGCTCTTTTGCTGCTGTACGCAGGAAACGAGAAGTAAATATTATGATCAACTAATAGATGAATATTACGAAACATTATCTAAATGTTTAGAAAGATGCGGTTACGATTCTAATATCCTTTTTCCTTACGAAGTATTATCCAAACATTTTACCAAATTCGGAAAATACGCAGCAGGAATGGCTATTTTCACTTTACATATATTCACCGATAATAAAGGCGAGTATACAGATATAGAATCTACTCGTAATTACAAAAAAATGGAAGAAAGAGTGCAAAATGATAGTTTTTATAGATACATGATAAAAGGCACTTTCAAAGATCTTGTCGACAAAAATTACATATAGACATATATATATATTTGTTTAGTGTCCTAGTCACAATGTGTCATGGTACAATATTTTAGTACATTTTATAATGTATTCTGAAGATTAAATAAATTCGAGTATCTCTCTCTCTCTCTCTCTCTCTCTCTCTTTCGCTCTCGCTCTCTCTCTCTTCCTTCCTTTCTTTCTTACTACGTAAATAATGAAGTCGCCATAGTTTTCGAGTTATAAGCAATTAAGATTAAATCAAATATTTTACGATGTTTGTGTAGAACATTTCATATGTACAGTAAATCCAAGAAGTCTTCGTACACTAAGAATTTTTATAGGAAATAGTTTATTTCTGTATGATAATGAGTTGTAAACAAACAATCGTTCTTACGTATGATAAAGTCTCTTTTTCCTAACAATATACCAGAAACAAAACTTATTAATTATAAAATGTTGTAATCAAAAACGATAAAACAAGGAAATATGATGATTTAGTAACGCGCAGAAAGTCTTCGTACATCTATGATATCTGTAACAAAAACTTATCTTAGGTAAGGAACACATACTTCGTATGTTTGTTTACATTTCGGCTTTGTTCAGTTTAATCTTTTTTTTTATATATTGACGCGAAATCCCACAGTCATTGTTCTCTATTTGCTGAAAATGAGTCGAACAAGAAGAAAGACTACCGCGGAGGAAAGACAAATTATTATTAGACTACATAATCAATGCAAGTTATTAAATCAAATATCAAAACTGATTGAGAGACCGCGTTCGACAGAATATTATTGATTGTTTTGACAAGATTAAAACTATAAAAAACAATGCAAGAAGCAAGCGTCTATCAGTCTTGTCGGACATTGACAGACGATTTATCATACGCAAAATTAAAAAACACCGGAGAATTAATGCCCCTCCCTCCCCTCCTGATAGCTGCGGAATTACTGAAGAGATAAGTCGTCTCTGTAAATACAATGATAAATATACTGTACAAAGAGAGATATCATGGATAAGTAGCCAGAAAAAGTGCTGGATTAATGAAACCAAACGCAAGAAGCGTTTAGAGTTCGCTAATGAGTATCAAACAAGACCCCTAGAATTTTGGAATAAAATCAGTTTTACAGATGAAAGCAAGTTCAATCTATTTGGATCGGACGGGAATCAAAAAGTGTGGCGTCAGAAGAATACCGAGCTTCAGCCGAAAAACTTGATATCCACTATAAAACACGTAGAGGGTGGTTCTGTGCTGCTTTGGGGTTACATGAGTGCTGTTGGTGTAAGAAACATTCATTTCATCGATGGTACTATGGATCACGAAATGTATATAAAGATTTTGAAGAACAATCTCCATTGCTAGTGCCGAAAAAATGGGGCTCCAAAATAATTTTATATTTCAACAGGATAATGACTCCAAGCATACAGCCAGCAACACTAAGTTATGGCTCTTATATAACACATCTAATCAGCTGAAAACATCTCTCCAATCAGCTGATTTAAATCTTATAGAACACGTGTGGAGTCTCCTAGAAAATAAGAAAAAAATATATTTCAAATAAAGATAACTTAAAAAAACATTACAAGAGGAGTAAAATTCAATTACAGCATCTGAAACATCCAAATTGGTTCATTCTATACTCAGGCGTCTGTAAGCTGTTATAAAAGCTAAAGGCTATCCTACAAGATATTAATCTGGTTTTGTCTTTTTTATTTTGTTTTATTTGTAGCCAGCATATTGCTGTACAAACATTTTTTGTGTATTACTAAATCATTATATTTTTCTTTCGTTATCTTATCATTTTCGACTATAACATTTCAAAATTTATAAGTTTTGTTTCTGACATATTGTTAGGATTGGTTAAGTTATTGGTATATTGTTAGGAACGAGAGATTTTATCAGACGTAAAAACAGTTATTTGTTTACAATTAATTATCATACAAAAATAAACTATTTCCTATAAAAATTCTTAAGTGTACGAAGATTTTTTGAATTCACTGTAAATTAAACATCGATATCGCACGAAAATATTGAATATGAATATATAATAAGGTGTCCAGAAAGTTTTGACGGAGCAGCCGTGTGCAAATAGAATGAATTAAACTGACAAGGGGACCTCATGAATTGGGACACGCAAATCTAAACTAAACTTTAATAGTTTATAGGGCGGAGGAGCCCAAGTACAAATATAAAATATTAGATGTCGATGGCCAGCTATTCAAAAGTTATTAACAAAATATTTCAGCGTCGTATGTATGTCAACAAGTTCGCTAATTATGATAGTTATTAAATCGGAACGTTGCCATGTAAACAAAGTCAATGGCCGATAATCGGATCTTATATCTAGGACCATCTTAAGTTCATCTTCAGATTGGCTTTGCAGCCAATAAAATGAGCCAGGCAGTATCTGAAGATGAACTTAAAATAGTCTTATATATAAAATCCTACTATGAGTACCAGCCAATGTAAGTCGGAAGCCAATGCACAAGGATATGACGTATATCGCATCCATCACATCGTTTCTGAGATGAATGAGATATACGTTTACGTCAAATCCTTGTGCGTTAGCTTTCGACTGCGACTTATGTGTTACAATTTTTGTCGAAACAGTTCCGACAATCTTTGTGCGAAAGCCCATAGACGTAATAGGTCTGCTTTCTACTGCTGTACTAGTTCTCTTTCTTCTCTTTCTCACTAAGGCTACGAGGAGCACGTTAGGGATAGACAAAATCATCGATATTTGAAAAACATTGATGTTCGCTTATTAACATGAACTGACTGCATCAGTCAAGAAATTTACATACACATTGAAACGTATGATGCGTACATACAAGATTCTCATATTTCAGTGTGCGTAACTTTCTCAAACTAGTACTGCCCATTCAGCTATAAAGAACAGACAGAAGGATTGAATGACTCGGTAGCGCTGACAGCATATTCTCTGAACGCACCCCAAATCTCATGAAAAAGAGAAAAAGAGAACTAGTGCAAGCTAGTGCAGTCGTGCAGCGATAGAAAATAGATTAGGAGAAAAAAAAAGATTGGCGGGATGTGTCCAAGTCGACTCGAATCAGCAAATCAAATACGCCAGTAGTCGCTTCTCATACGAGAATTATTTGGGTAATTATTTAATTTAGCTACGCCAGCACAAATATGGATGAAATTACACTTATTCGACGCGTTTTTGCACAAAACGAAAGAATCTGGCAGAAAAAAGTATCGCTCTGTCCCGTGTAGTGAATTATTAGTCGTCAAAGTTGACGACTTGACAGGTTAGGAAATCTGTCATACCGATGAGATGTTGCGATATAAGCATGCTTCGTGGTGTTAAATAAATATAAGCATTAAATCTTTGCCTTGCTAAAGTGTGTGCGATGAGTCTGTTTTATACTAAAATGAAAACAATGAAAATTTGCAAAGGCCCCTACGTAAGATATGTTGTTAACTTATAATTTACTTATTTAAAATATTGTTATCTGAATTGATAATTACTTCATTATTTTTTATCTATTTAGCAGACACACCTTGCGTAGGGGTCTATGTTAATCTTCACTGTCTCAATTTTAGTATAAGATAGACTCATCACACATACTTTAGTAAGGCGAAAGATTTCAGTTTCAAGAGCAAAATAAAAATTGAATATATAAAATTTAAATATAAATCATATTTAAATTTACAAAACTATATATCTTCATAGTATTAAATCATGGTATTAAATATAAGTATTAAATCTTCACCTTATTAAAGTGTATGTGATGAATCTCTTTTATATTAAAATGAAAACAGTGAAAATTAGCAAAGGTCCCTACGCAAGGTATGTTGTTAACTAATAATTTATTTAACACCACGAAGCATGCTTATATCGCAACATTTCATCGGTATGACAGGTTTCCTGACTTGTCAAGTCGTCAACTTTGATGATTAATAACTTACTTCACGGAGCGACCCTTTTTTCTGGCAGATTCTTTCGTTTCGTGCAAAAACGCGTCGAATAAGTATAATTTCATACATATTTGTGCTGGTGTAACTAAACTAAATAATTACCTTATCCAAAATTGACGGATGATCCCACTCATTTTCTTTCTGGCAATAGCATTGGATCTTTGCATGTTTGTAAAGATACTCGACTTCAAGAAGTTACTTTTTTGTTATTAGTAACGTACACTTTGTAAATATTTTAGCAGATTAGACGTTACGATATGAACTACTGTTGGTTATAATTTTGATACATTTTTGCAGGAACTAAGATAAGAAAAAAACAAGAAAAAGAGAGTGAATAGGAGAAAATATCTGTTCTCGGGGGCAAATATCTACGGGAAAGGTTTGAAAAGTCGAAGTTCATAATAAAATATATTTAATATTTCATTAATAGAGTATAATTCAGCATTGATAGAAGTATAATGGATACTGATGATACTACCAATAAAATGGAAAGTACTAAAGTATGTCCTAATTTGATAGTATTAGAAATGCAAGTTTATAACCTTAAAATATCGAAGCTTAAAAGGTATCGAATTTTAGATATCTGTTTCGAAAATAAAACACGATTGGTATCAAACGGAGACCCATGTTATCGTAATGATACTTGTGAAAAATTCGGAAAATGTTAAAATTGAATATGAAAAAAATATGGTATGTATAATTGCTCATGTTTTATAGTAATTTTTCTATATATGATACTTGAGGCTATGCATATTTGTCAATAGTAGATGTCTGAAAACACTTTTAAAACATTTTTAAATAAAAATCAATATTAAAATTTAAAGGCTTCGATAGTTTTCAAATAGTGTTTTATGTTGA